CGAAAAATCCATTTCTAAGCAGTAACGGTACAAAGTACAAAGCAACGGAGACTTGCCACTGTCTAAAACTCTTTTGAAAATGAATAAATATATTGAAAACTATACGAAAAATATTTTAGAAGGACCGGAACTCCGACTTTCCGATCAGCAGAGCACACTTATCTGCTTAGAAATGGATTTTTCGGGGATTATGAATTTTTAAAAAGTAACGGAGACTTGCCACTGCCTAGAACTCTTCGGAAAATGAATATATATATATATGTATATATTCAGAGCTATACGAAAAATATTTTAGAAGAACCGGAACTATAACTTGCCGACCAGCAGAGCACACTTGTCTGCTTAGAAAGGTGTTCTTCGGGGATTATGAATTTTTGAAAAAGTAACGGGGACTTGCCACTGCCTCGAACTCTTCGGAAAATGAATATATATGTTCAGAGCTATACGAGAAATATTTTTGAAGTACCGGAACCCCGACTTTCCGAGCAGCAGAGCTACGGGAAGTTAGCAGATCATTTTTTCGATCGACTGTTTTTTGGTTTAAATCACAGAACTATTATTAAAAAGTATCAAGAACTACAGAACTCGACTGCATGCGATAAGAACTCCATTTTACTTTTGATCTGCTAGAAAATGATCTGCTACGGGAAGTTAGCAGATCATTTTTTCGATCGACTGTTTTTTGGTTTAAATCAACAGAACTATTATTAAAAAGTATCAAGAACTACAGAACTCGACTGCATGCGATAAGAACTCCATTTTATTTTTGATCTGCTGGGAAATGATATGCCAACTTCACAGCATTCCGACATTTCTGAAGATGCCTGTGAAGTTGGCATATCATTTCCCAGCAGATCACAAATAAAATGGAGTTCTTATCGCATGCAGTCGAGTTCTGTAGTTCTTGATACTTTTTAATAATAGTTCTGTTGATTTTATACAAAAAACAGCCGATAGAAAAAAAAGATGTATTTATCATAACACTAAGACGCTGACGGATTTTCGATAGTTCTACGAGTTCTAAACTATTTCTCGTGTAGTTCTGAACACATTTATTCATTTTTCAAAGAATTTTAGGCAGTGGCAAGTCTCTGTTACTTTTTAATAAATCATAATCCCCGAAGAACACCTTTCTAAGCAGATAAGTGTGCTCTGCTGATCGCAAAGTTGGAGTTCCGGTCCTTCTAAAATATTTCTCGTATAGCTCTGAACATACATATTCATTTTCCGAAGAGTTCTAGGCAGTGGCGAGTCTCCGTTACTTTTTCAAAAATTCATAATCCCCGAAGAACACCTTTCTAAGCAGACAAGTGTGCTCTGCTGGTCGGCAAGTTATAGTTCCGGTTCTTCTAAAATATTTTTCGTATAGCTCTGAATATACATATATGAAATAAATTTAAAACTTTTTCCATCAGATAAGCGATGCAATTTATTATTTATTAAATAATGCAGAATAATATATGTATGCAAATATGTAAATTTTTAAAAGGGCAGCTCGTACTAAAAACACAGATTAAAAGTTTAGACTTCACCTTTAAGTGACTTACATGTTAATGATTTTTACTGAATTAGTATCTAAATAATTTAGGACAAGAAATAAAAATTATCATTTACATAGCAACCTTTCCTCACTTCATTGTTGAAAATATTTTCTATAATATATAATATTTTTCATAATAAATTAACTTAATATTAAAATATATAATTTATAATATGAAATAGATTTCAGTGCGAAATTATCGCCCCAACTACGAGAAAATTGCTTTCAAATAGTCTTGATAGATTTTTGTTTGCACATTCCCATATAATACTAATAATTAATAATTATTATCTTTATTATAAATTTACAAATTATTAGATTATAATTATAATTATAATTATTAATAATTATAATCTAATAATTGATTAAGTAAGGTATAAATAAAATTGGGCGAGTGGTCAATGCAGTAACTCAGTCTCGAGTATAATTAAAACAATTGCTAATAGTATCGACGGATTAACATTTGCAAATTCACAGTTTTCCAATCTTCGGATTGATCGCTCGTCAAACTTAACTTGTGCATATTTTTCTTAAGGCTGTGCAAACGATAATCTATCAATTAAGACTATTTTAATCCATTTTGTGGCGTGCTTTCTCTCTCCGCGCGTACCCGCGGATCTTTGAATAGCCGCGCGGCAAGATGGCCGCCGCGCCGCCGTGCGCGCGCCGCTACCCCACTACTCGTCAGTTGCGCGGCGAAGCTCGAGCGGGAAGGTCACATCTCCGTGCGTCGCCGTTGTCCCTCGTACTTGGAAGTATCCTTCGCGAACGTTCGCTACGTATGTGTGCTTCTCAAGCAGTACCGAAGCCCGCGCGTAATTAGCAGGCGTATCGAGTGGTGATTTGCGCGAGTTGGACGGTTTGTCGCCGGCAGCGATGGAAGGTTAGTGTGAAAGTTAGTGGGAATAGGGACGTTCGCTGTTTCGCGACGCAACGTCCGCGGACAATAATCGGTTCTTCGCGACGCGCAGATCGCGCGTACTCGACTATATCTCGCGTTTCGCGTGTGATTCGCGAATCTTGACAGTCTACTTACTCGGCATCGAGTGTGATCGAGTGGTCGCGCCCGGTTGAATTGACTCGCGTAGTGTGTCGCGCGGCGTCGAGTGCGCCGTCACTTTGAATCGCCGGCCATTCCTCGGCACGGAGCGCCGCGAGTGCGGGACGGACCGGTCGCGACGTAGCTTGATCAGCCGCGGTCAATCCGACATCGATATTTCGCCGTCGTACAAGACGAGTTCGCGTCGCGGTAACTCGGAGGCTGAAATTTGCGCGGTACCGACACTCCCCCGCTCCCCCTCACCGTTAATTTCACCGATTTTCGAGCCGACAGCTTCGCACGAGTGTGTACGTTTTCCGCGTCATTTTTTCCGAAGTGCGCGTCGCGCGTGATCGTCAATCTGGAAGTATCGTGCCGCGTAATTATCGTCCTCCGCTAGTTTTAGTGCTCGCGATCGTGAGTGAAGTGTCGTTTTCGCGAGTGTGTGCCACAGACATGGCGAAACGGGTGGATCTGAGAGGAGGAGCAGGCCCGGGGTGGCATCGGGCAACGGCGGAGCAACGGAGAGGTAATTTAGTGTTGATTATTTTATTTTTGAATCTGTAATTGTACGTTTGATCATTTCTCACTGGGTATGTTGTTACACTCGCGCAACACTTCTTCGTGCAGGACGTATCAACTGTTTTGGTAATCTGGAATTTGTGTATTTTGCAGGTCGACATGGTGGAACAACGCAGTTACATCCAGTTCCATCTCCGCCGCTGCGCGTCGTTCGGTGAGTCGAATCTTTCTTTCGATGTGAAGCGACGGAACGTTACAAATGAATACAGCACATCGTTCCATTGCTTCGAAATGAATAAGCTAATTATAAGATAGATTGTGATTGGTTAATGTTTAACTTTGGAATATGTGACTTTAATGACACCGTTGATTTATGGGACATACGAGAATGCACGGTAACGAGATCATTAAATAGAGCTCGGGGTTTCATTTGCTTGTACAATTTCTGTCTTCTCAGACAGAATAATTAAAGGATACATTAGTCGCTTGGAATTTATAGCACAAACTTGCGAACATAAATGACAAAATATAGAATTTTATAGGTAAATCTAGCTTACAATTAGTAAAATTTAAAAAATTAATTAATAAAAAAATTTTGATTAATTAATAAGATAAATATCTATTTTAGAGATATCTATATAAATTCGGAAAATTATATATGTAATATAAAATATAATAGTGATTATTAATATATTATAGCTAATAATAATATATTATAGTTTTACATTTAATATTATTATAGATAATAAACAATTTTTTAAGTAAGGAAGAGACGCGGAAAAATAAAAAGGATAGAGAGATGGATATGGTTTCAAGCACATAATAAAGATGTTGCGATTAATAAAACTATATGCTCATATATTTTGAATTAAATCGCGTATCTACATTATTTAATATCTGTCATATTTTTCCGGTATTAACATATTTCATCGCATAATACAGTTCTATACTACTAATATATAGTAGACGAACTGCGTACAGTATACTATTGCTATTCTATTATGTTTCTCCTGGTCCTCGGTTTTACAAAAAAATTTCATGAATTTTACACGCTACTAATAATGATGGATCAATGGGAACAAAAAATTAACGTATGTGGTTTTTTATTGGCGTTGTTTTATTACACGCTAACTAAAACTACTTCTGTAAACATGATTTTTAAAAATATATTTGATATAAAAGGATATATTACATTTATAGGAATATACGAGTACATGTATGCCATGTGAAATAAGAAATTAACTTTTAAAGACAGTAGAAGTATAAAGTCTTTTTTTATTCTCTACTAAGATTATTTATTTATCATTTCTTCTCTAGAGTTTTTCTTAAAATAGTAGATATTTATTTGACAAACTTTATGTTAAAAGAAATACGCGTAAAGTAACGTAAAAAATAAGTTTTTAAAATGATTGCATTATATATCGTAAACATTAATAAAAATAGGTACAATCTTCTATGTGTAAAAAGTTAAATTTGAGTACTTACATATGATTAAAATATCATATCATGTACGTGTCAAATTATTACTTAAACACACAACCATATTGCATAAATCTTAACTATTTACAAAAATACTTACATACTAATAAATTTTCCTTACCGACACATGTAAAACATTTCATTTACAAGATAAAATTAAAAAAACAAATGGGATTAATTTAAAGGAAAATTATTTCAACGATGTTCTCGCGTTCTTTACTAGGAACACGTTGCTAGAAGAATCAATAAAGTATTATTATATTTATTCATAAATATAAACATTTATAGAGAAATCAAATAATTGGCAACATAATAAATTTCTTGTAACGTTTACAAAATAAATATATTTATTAATATTTGATATAAATACGGAATTAGGCTCTTGGAAATTTATTCGCGTAATTCGATTTTTATGACGCTACGTAATATCTTCTCGTACTCATTGTTAACGATGTTATGGCAATTTACGGTAAGAGAACATCTTGTCTGGTGTTGCGTGTAAATTTACATTAATTCCTAATAAATTAGGTACTATAGACGTATCATAAGAGAGCTCTATTATCATTTTATTATCAACTTGAGAATCTATATGCACCACAAGGCACTGATTGTAAAAAGTAGATAGCGATAAAAATACTCCAGTTCTATAATTTTACCTAATTCACTCTAAAACATGATAATTAAAATTATATTCTATTTCGAAATCTGTGTAAACAAAAGCTATGTTTAGGTGTACATTTTAAGTATCTCTTTAAACCTGATAAGTATCCTATTATTCTCGCATGTTTAATTATACACATACCAGCGTATATGTATACGTATACGTACGCTTGTATATATGTATATTTAAACTATTGTGAATATAAAATTGTCATTGTCTGGAACACATGCGCATATAACTGTGGAAAAATAAGTATTTGATACTTTTACAAAATCCACGTCTTATGAATCATTTTTAAGTAATCGTTCGTAAATTATCTTACAAATAATTTGCTATGCATTAACTTCGGAATAAAAATTAATATAAACGAGCAAAATTGTGAGGAATATCGTTTCATTATTTGTCGTTAGAATGCAGAAGTTCGTGAGATTTCACATTCATTTTTTATCATCAAAAATTATTTTCGTGAGATGTCTAATAATAAATTAAAAAGAGTCTTATTTATGTTCGAGTGATATTACGCAAAAAAATTGCGCGTGGTCCTAGTACTTGGAAATGTTGCTAGTTATCGAGAACAGCGCATCTCGAATTATCATCTAGGAGATTGCGTGATATCTCACAAACGCATTCTATTTATTATCAATTATTTCAAACATTTGTGCACAATTCATGTTATACAATATCTGCAATACTGCGTACAATCTGTATGAAAAACTGATTGAAACATTTTGTCACCTGAGGCAATTATTTCATAAAAATATTCTTCTTTGCTATGATACATAATATCTCGACGACTATATAATTTCTCCCATCAACAATCAGATCTATTTACAATAATGGAACAGTATTGAAAATAGATATTCTTCATAAATCCGCACATACATTCGACTATGTCTTGCGCGTTAAAAGACCTAAGTTTTTAACGTAGGGAATGACGATAGCAGGAAAATAAGAAACCGAAAAATACAGATACATTACGTTTGCTCTGACGGACTTTTTCGGCTCGGCACAATCTTTATCTCTTTCCGCGACGAGTCATTTAACGGGCAGGAGTCTTCTCGAACATTTGATTGAGGATATTTTTTATCCGGATAGTTCCATGCTTGTATGTCCGCCGTACCGAATATCTGATAGGCAATATACGTGCTGCAGGATACACCCGCAGTAAGTGCGAATACTCTTCTCCACGACTCGAGAGATTGCTGTTGGAAACATTAGGTCATTTTAGCTTTTTAAGATAACCGATAGAGAAAAGTGAAAAAAGGAAATGGAACGCTTACGCTTTCTTGCGTGAGCAGACCAGCTGCTATAGGAGATAGGAAACTAGCGGTCATGTGAATCGTCTGCGCGAACGCTAGCACCGGTCCTGAAAGTAACAGATTGATTTGTACAAAATATTGATGTATTCTTAAGAAATAAATATATTTGTAAGAATGCGCGCACTGACCAGCGAAATTAGGTGCGATGTCAACGATGTTGGCCATTGCGCCTGCGTAGCCGGCTGTTATGAGAGTCACAGCTATGAACCATACGATTAAAACTAGGATAATATCGCAGCCTAAGTATCCAATTAAAATCACAAGTATTCCGGGAACGACTTGAGCTACAAGGAAAAAGAAGTTGTTCAATTTATTTTCCGAGTATTAGTTAAGGAAAACCGCGGCTGGAAACTTACACAGTGCCGTAAATATCTTGCGCACAGTGATTAAAGTCATGATTTGCCGCGTGACTAGGAGATCCGCAATGTAGCAGAACAAAACGGAGCTTAAGTAGCTACAGATAAATGGTGCACCCGACAGGATACCGTTCTAAACGAACAAATAATTTTATTAGTCTACTGATCATTATATTGAAAAAATTGAAAGTGAGAATTTCCCTCGAGTACGTACTGCTTGTATACTGAAGCCTAACACTGTCTTCATGTACATCGGGCCGGGAATGATAAAGACATAGTGTACCCATATTCTTCCGAAGGTTGTAATACCGATAGCCCATGCTGGCCAGGACGTGAGTATAGATTTCCAAGGAACGGGCAGATCCTTTAAGAAAAGAAACGTATAGTTACGTATGTTCTTAAAAAAGACACCGTTTGATAATCAGATATAAATCGCCTTACCTCGTTCGCTCCGTTAACCTGGTTCCTAACACATTCCTGAATGTAACGGAGCTCCGGCTTAGATATTCGGGGATGCGAGGCGGGAGTGTCGAAGGCGCAAATATACCAAAAGATGCACCAGACGAGACCGACAATGCCAGTCGTGTAGAATACAGCCCTCCAGCCAAAGTGGGCGATGATGAACGCGCACAACGGATAGGTCAATCCGATGCCGATGCTGAACCCTGAATATAGACAACCTAGATGTTAGGAATAGCTCACCCTACGATCCGGAAGAAGCTGAAACATGATGCTTGTCGAATGGCCTTCGTCTTGATTTGTTACGACTGGTGATGGCCGCTCTTCAGTCGAGGTGTACGTATCTCACTCTGTAAAGCGATTCAAGTAAAGACTTAGTACGCAAGGACGAGGAGCACGAAGCTGTTAATAGTGGGACAATGAAACTTCTATGTCTGCAAATAATAAAAGTTTAGACTCGTTCTACCTGCAAAATAAGTGTCACTCTTCGTACGCAGAAATCGGTATCACAAAAAAAATGTATCGTGTTGAAGAAACGAAGTTATGCGTGTTACTCGTTACAAGTTAAGAAAAAAGTACAGATCTTTACTTCCACAATAGCATTCCTTTTGTCGCTACGTTACACACATGTGAAACACACCCACGTAAAATTTGTAGTTAATATTTCTAGTATCACGAAGTATCTTTACGAAGACCAACTTTATTTAATAGATATTTGTGTGATGGTATCAGTAAAGACTTTAGATTATCTAGAATTCATGTCAAAACTTCAAATTAATTTGGAATAATTAATTCGCCAGCGATTAATTAACGATCAGGTGAATAATCCGACACGACTGGCTACAGGAAAAATCCTTTATTTCTTCACTATGAAGATTTTTCCTGTAGCCAGTCGTGTCGGATTATTCACCTGATCCTTAAAATTAATGTCAGATAAAATTCTATTTATAATTTCATACAGAAATAATACGAGATAATACGAGAGAATACAAAACATTTGAGAAAAGTCTATCCTGAAATCTGACATAAATTTTAAATCTTAAAGCAAATTGGAGCATATACATATATCGAAGACACATTTTATGCTAGCGGAAAGAAAGCCTAATAAATTAGGTCCAATAATTTCGATAAATAAGTAAACGCAAAGAAATAATCGGGCCACATCGTAAATAAAACAAATATATAAAACGAAACTCGTGGTCCGTCTCTGGAAAAGTTTGAGTGAGAAAGATGATTAGATTTGCTTATTAATCCACACCGCAGACAAATGGATGTAGTCGAAAGACAGAATTTGTACATGTAAGAAAGATAAGTATAAACAATACATGTTCGACGAGTCCGGCTGATTCTACCAGCTGGAAGTATACTCGGCCTTTCTCATGCTGTTGAGCGGTTGCTGTTGAGTATACCCCTCGGTCCGGCGAATGCAACCTCGTGGAGATGAACTATTTGGGATCATTAACGAGCGATCAATTTTCGCGCAGTTCGATGCGCAACATTTATACAGAATTATTTTTCATTTTAACGAGAGATTATTTTCTTGAATTTCCGGAATTCTCGGAATTTTTACTGAAAGAATAACGTGTGGTTTCTCATTCGAACTTCCATATTCCACTCTGAAAGAAGCGTACATTAGTAGCATCCACGTCAACACAACCGAAAGGAATATGCAACTTCCATTTTACGGCGTTATACTTGCGACTGTAATATGAGGGTACGCGCATAGTTTTCGCCTAATATTGGATCGAATGTATCGAAGTTTCACTGTAACACACGAAAATCTCTGTTAGCGGCCGGCATTTTATAACATACCTTGAAAGGAAGACATGAAACGTGAGCGTTCCACCGGTGGAATCCAATGTCCGATTACGGCGTACATCGCGGGCCACGTGAGTCCCTGTTTAAAAAAGAAATCAAGATGAGTCACGGAAATTTGTTATTTCTATCTCAAAGGCTCTCTAGAAAAATTTAAGTGCTATTTGAAAGGTTGTTCAGTCTAAAGATTTTAAATATCTCATAAATTTTATCAGATTGGATTAATGACTTACACTTGCAATGCCCTGTATACTGCGCAATGTTATCATGGCCCCGTAATGAAGCTCTGCAGCAGTCGGCATAAGCAGACTGCAAACGGCAGTGACGGCTTGAGATCCGCCGAATATTGTTTTAGTGCCGAAGTACTGAGTAAGAACACCGCCGAGCATTTGCGAAAGTATATAACACCAATAGAAGGAACTGAGAATGGCCGATTGAATAGCTGGACTCCACTCGAACTCGCCGGCGTCCTGTTCATAAGAACAATACGATGTTGTGTAGTGCAACATGTACATAAAATAAATAAATACGCACTAGAACTCTTTTGCAATTTACGACAAATTCTAATTAAACAGCAGTTAGCTTTTCACTAAAATTAAAAGTAGTTAAATAAAAAAAAATTAAAAATCATAAAAATTATTCAGGTATTTAATTTCTTGTCTATCATTTAATATTTTGTTAAAAATTATAGCTATAAAAAGGTAGCAAGAAAGATCTGTAGTTTTAGTGAAAAAATAATAAATAAGCGTTGCTTTTAATTAAAAAAAAATCTCTTTTGCTATTTTTTCTCATTATTATGCGTAAAAAAATTTCAATATCTCTGTTTAAAGTTAATCTTATTTTCATTTGAATTATCTTGCAAAATAGATGATGATATTAATATCATTATAAGCTTTTACAATTATTTATCTGATTTTTTTTTTACTGAACTCTTTAGGCACTTTTAAAGAAATTTTCCTCGATTTTGACGACACGTGGAATACATTTTTATCTTATATTTATGTTACGTAATGTCAAAGAATCTGTACCGCATTCGTATTCAAATGCGTTGTGATGCCGATCACACTCTAGTCTAGACACAATAACACATTCTGACCTACTGACTACGTCTGAATAAATATGCAGTGTAATATGTGCGCATTTAAAGTAACCTGATAAAAAAAGAACTTTGTAAAAAATGAAAAAATAATTTTTCTCTGCTGCAAGTCGGAAGATTCTTATTTCATCGAGGAAATAAATCATTACTATTTTGGGGCTCGTATGAAATAAACGATACGCAGATAAAAAAGAAATTATGCGCTATGCAATATCATAATATCTAAGCGTACCTCCGGCCTGATTACAGTAGTGTTCTCCGCGTGTGACGCATTCGGTATTGTGTAACAGTGAGATGTTACCGCGGCGGTTTCATTGTTCGACGGCAGCTTCGCCATGGCCACCATGGCGATGTTAATGTCTGTTCTCATCATGAAAGACACGAGGAATCCGGAGAACGAAAGTATGTACAGCACGACACGTGCTGGAACCATGTCTGCAATCAGAAAATCAATTTAATCTGTTTATCAAGAACTGCGTAGTACTGATCGTATCGACTTGAACTAGAAAGCGTATTATTGGCGATTACCAGTTTGATTTTTTTTTTAAATACTTCATAGTTAAACAAGAAAGAATGTTACCTCCCAATTTTCGTAAACTGCAAGGTGGTTTTTCCTTGTATATATCAGATTCCTCATACCTGTAAGATAAAATTACTGCGTGATATGCAATATCGAAATATGCAATTAATGTCTGATTAACTAAAACTTTTAACGATTAATTGTGCTCAACTTTAATATTTGTAAGTGAGACGAAAAGAAAGGCAATAATTAAAAACACAATAAAATAAGTATAACAAGTTTTCTAAAATATATGGTCGTATCGAATATTTATCTATTTAAAATGTTGATAGAAGTAAAATAGACACAAATGAAATATTAGGGTGTATGAAATATTAGAAATAAGAATATTTATTTAAAAATCAGATTCATTACCTTTGAGATTCTTCCATTTCTTGCGTGAAGCTTTCGATATTTGAACAGAGTACGAAAACGAATCTGTTTTGTACACGATAAGAACACAAAGATCACCTTGGATTCTGCAAAATAGAGAAAATTAATCTAATTTAATAATCGTCACTTTACAAGTGAGTTTTTCTATTTTAATTCTTACGCATCATTCAGTTTATAAGTTTTTATTTAACCTTGTTAAATATAAAATAGCGCGTCAATAAGCTTGTAAGATATTCGAACTATTGCATCGAGGTCATGATTTATGAAAAGAGAATGAAATTCCAACACGAAACTCATATCGACATTCTTAAAGTTCTTTATGGAAGCCTCCGCAAAAATTTATTTATAAATATCATACAATTCCATCAAGAATATGGAAAAGATCGTTTTCATTATAGAAAATAATTATTTTTGACATAAAACTTTTTATGATATACTCTTTTCTCTCTTTCAATTAATTATTCGTTTAACTCGAGCTGTTTTCCAAATAGCATTCTCAGTGACATTACAATATATCAATTTCAACTATATGGTATATGTATATGTCACATGATAAATTATCACATTTTTTCCTACAAATTTCGTATTTATCAAAATGGCTAAAGAAAAGTACAATTATTTTCAATGAACGAGTTAGACTGGAAAAATCGCTTTAAATATTGTTATTCGCCATATTTTTAAATTTTGTATTTTGTGTGTACGAATTACAATAATGTAATCGTAGATATGTATATAAATTTTAATATTTACTATATTTAAAGAAAGCGATTTAGTTATTCTCTTTCTCGTGCCTTACATAAAGTATAAAAATAATTAATTTTATTATTATACTGATCAGTGTAATTGTACTGAATTAATAAAACTTCCGCAAAAAAATTGTCGACACGATCATTTATGTGTAATATATGCAGAATTGATTAAAAATGAAGCTTGGCCTTGAGTATAAACGATGATTACGCAAAAATAATTTTACGTAATAATGAAAATGATACTACCGAATTGAAAACGTAAAATATAATGTTTAAAGGTAGATAGTACACACAAAAAGTGCATTAAAATTACAGCTTATATAAATTTAATTTTATGTGTACAAAGTAGTGCATTTTTATTATTTTATTTTGAGACACTGCGATGGCATCATATGATTAACTTTATAGAACACACAGCAGTAAACATATTTCAATACACACAGAATAGTGTTTTTTTTAAATTTATTACGTAGAGTATGTTATTTAAGCAGAGAAAAAAATAATGGTAAAATATCAAGCATAATCGTTTATGTATCAACAAAAATTCGTGCGTGCGCGTGCAGGTGATTATTATTAAATCTTGCAAAAATTTCGGATAAAATTCATTCTATGTTTTATTGGAACTGTATGTAAATTCCTTATAGATAAGATTGAATATAATCGTCTTAGTAGAAAAATTTTTAATTAGATTCTAAGCTGCAATTACTGCATTCTTTACCTTATTTGCATTCAGTGCTTCAAGTCAAAATATTGGAGAATTCACTGAATGATAACGTGTTATGCTCATTGTTAGAGGCACATATGATGATGAATAAGTATAAAATTGAAAATATTATGACTAGCTAGCTAGGTAGGTAGCTAGGTAGGTTATATATGTACGTACAGTACTTTTATGCATTAAAAGAAGAGTAGTTTTACATGAAAACTTCCGATTAGTTGCAACAGAATTTCTTACAACAACCGTAATTAACTCGTCAACAATCGTAACATTAATACGATGTTTTTAGAAATACATTTTGTAAATAGTACATCTTTTGCTCCAAAAAATGTAGCAATCAATTACGTTCAATTTTATTTTCAAAGTAACATTTAACGCGTCGTTATCTTCAATATCCAACAGTCGTGTTTATGAATTGATTTCGATGTTAACACGGTAGTGATTTACACAGTTCAATGAATGTATATTTGCTAGCAATGACGAACGAGGAAATTCGCAACATTAGCATTTTCTTTCTTTTCCAATAGTCATGTTGATTGCAGAATGACCTCGCACTGATAGCAGCGAATTATAACATGTCAGAAATATACCTGCGATAAATAACAAATTGTCAATATCACATTCAAAGTGCCACTTACGTTAAAGAAGTAGAACTAGGTGGAGGAACGCGATATATAACTTAACCAAACTTAACAGACGCAATTCGAAGCGTGTGGTGGAAGAAATCACGATACGATCGAGATGATTACGGGCGGAATGAAGTGTCGATACTGAAAGGCGACCGAACCACGAGGCGTTGACTATCTTCATTGACCCCACCATTGCGCCGGTTTTCGATCGTGTTCTCGGTACAGTGCGAGACGAATATGTGGAATATTCTATTATACCTATCGCAGGTAAAACGTGATGCGATTTGTGAGGTTTTTTAGTAATTGGTTATTGACGGTCACGTAAACTAAACTCCACGTTTAAAACGAATGACTTATCAAAAACATTCATTACGTAACGAAGAACATAATGAGCGAGCTTGTACTTAAATTGGAAAAATGAAAATAAGGAAAATATCTATGTAACTAGCTAAAGTCAAAAAGTTTCAGGAAGAAACATTTATTTTTATAATGAAAAATTATTATAGTTATCGTGTTATAGAAGAATTAATTGCACTTGATTATTTTTCCGATAATTTCGACGTAATGTGATAAGTATAAGAGGCAATCATTATGTAATTGCTAACTGCGGATTATCGCGATGGAATAAAATTAATCGAGCTTTAATTAATAATTAATTCTTAATTAATTAAAAAATAATTGGCGCATATTTAAGAAAATGATACACATTGAAATAATGCTTTTGTAGAAGAGTTGTACAGAAACGTTAAATGGACACGAGAACTTAGAAATGCGTTACATCGGCAATAGAATTAATTGTAGGGTGTCATTAACGATAGCTTCAACAAGTTTGCATCATCCTGATAGAATTCTAAAAGTGATCAGTGTATAGACAAGAAATTTAGTTCAAGGAAAAATATTTTTATTTTATTACCGAGTTCTTTCACGTGAGTCATAAGAATTTATCATTATTTTTTTCCGGTATGCAGCACGTACATGCAGTTGTCGATACAAAGCACATTACACATACTTATCATAAATTATTTTATACTCTTGGAACAGTCTTAAGTCTGTTCTGCGGTGAAGCATAGAGGCACCCTTTTTTGATCGATAATTTGTGTTGTATGACGGGACAAACGATAGTTAATGCTTATTCTTTATTTGACCTTGCAAGTTTCAAGGGACTCTCACAATTGACGTATATCATCGGATCAGTTTTCTGATAATATGTGTGTTAGTAAGATATGATAGCACAATTGTGCATAATATTTCAAACTGATCGAGCCGAAGGTTTCATAATGAAGACCTCATGACAAGATAACGTTTCCTCCGACATATCGTCAATTGCCCTAACGAAGAAATTTCGTCGCCGACAATATTGGACTTAATTATCTCAGTTGACCTTATTAAGTACACAGTGCAGACCATGCAATTTGACCAATAGAATTGTATTGCAAATAAACACAAAAGTGACGTGCGTCATAACAGCGTAAAGTATTCATTAAATATCATTTTAATTAATAACTGTGAGAAATAAAACATGTTTTCCACAAAACCTAGTATGAAAATATTGAAATCTAATACTAGTTTGTTAGATAAACGTAATACTTTCATCTATCTACAAAGTAATATTCATTTCATTTATCTACAAAGTAAAACAGTGATAGTAAAACGATAATAAAGTGCCGAACAAAACACTAAACAATGAATTTATTTAATTTCTATATTTATTAAAGAAAAGAATCGGTTTTTTATAGCAACCGAGAAGGGAGTAGTAAATTTGTGATTTAACACAGCGTATACAACGAATGACGACTTTTTTGTAGCTTGACAAATTTCTGCTTACAATTAGGTTGCGAAACATGATTAAAAGGACGTCAATTACTGTGAGAATTGCTTTATTGGCAAGGAAACCTTAAGAGTTAAAGTCTCTATTAGAGTTTGATTAACACTGGTCAAGAGACATGAATGGTTTCTGTTCCAGTAATGTATAACTTTTTAAAGCTGACTTTTTCATGACAAATTTATTGTAACTATTACCTTTTGCCGTGTAAATTGTAATGGTGCATACTGGGGCTCGATCGTGAATTTTTTCTTGTAGCGTAAACTGAAGAATTCAATGTTCGTGAATGAAATTTTTCACTTTTCATGCTAGTTCACGCTAGAGGAAAAAACTCGTGATCGAGCCCCTGATCTATTCCATATATTTGGTAATATGGAAATTGCAATTCTTAACCAGAAAACTATATTACACAGAATACTGTGTAGAATACTACATATGTTACACAGTATAGTGCGCAAAGTTAGTTCCTAGATTACTTTCTAAAACCTCTCCCAATTGATATCTTACTGCGATACTATTTCTTTGGTGGATTAACTTATAACGTCTTTGTCATTTGATCTTCAATGGTGATTCCAACTGGTTATCATAGATAACATAATTTACAAGAGTTCCTTTTTTTACACATTCATTTCACACCATTGAATCACCTTTCAACTCTTTGGCCGGTATTCATAGTCAAATCTTATATTCAAGGCAGTCTTAAGATTATCTCTAGATATTCCATAGCCAATAAAATGTTCCATACAGTGTCTTTAGATATAAATATCTAATCTTTAGATACATTCAACACGGTCTTGAAGATAAGATCTGACTATGAATACCCACCTTTGCTCCAATTTATCCTATCCGGAGTAAAAAAAGTGGACAATTCCAGCGGTTTTTACGTGCATTAGACACAGAAATAGGAAGTGTTAAACTTTATAAAAACTGATTTCCGTTGCTGAAGGAAGAAACTGTTAGCCATGTCATTGCAGTGACAGATACAGAAAAATTTCCCTGTTAGGATGAGAATTCCAAACTGATTGTGAGACGAAGGCCTTGGAACACCATGAATGTTCCATATCGCTTTTATCCGTGTCCAACGACGATTTGATTGTAATATGCCTAGGAACGGTAAATCGAAAAAAACCATTGGATAGACGCGGCTTTGAGAGCTGTCTCTCGACGTAGAGCTACATCATAGACGTATATTATGGCCACTGCTCGGTTGAGGTTAAACACGCCGACTTTTTCAGCTTTTAAGAAGCACGTGGCCCGTCGCGGTTGCTTTCGAGAGCAGCGAGTCACAAAGATCGCGCAAATCGAAGGACAGCCGATCGGGACTCACTTTAGTGGCGTTTCTGCGTCCAGCGGAAGTCTCGTGTAGCGTGGGTGCTCTCTTGCGCGGCATTTTCATCCACGCGGCGGCACACGCGACAATATTGGCGTGTGTTCACCCACGTCGGCGAGAGAAGCACGCTGCTTCGTGATAAGCCGAGAGAGTGAAAGCGATAGAGACAGGCGTGGCAGGGCAGGGCAAGGCAAGGCGAGACGAGACGAGGCGAACCGAACCGAAACGCAGGCACCGGTGGAACGCCGCACCAAGTGCACAAACGTTGCCGACGCAGCCGTTACGTCGGCTCCTTTGATGACGATATCTACCGGACTACCGTCATGATCACGTGACTCAGAACCAGCAATGCTCACGAGCGATCGATGGTGGCTCAATGCGCAGACGCGGTGCGATAACTGTTACGTATAAAACGCAACGTAACATTTTTAAGTGTTGATAAGGCGGAAAACTTACTCCCCTTGATTAACCTTATTCGGCTATAAATAGGCAAGCAGTTACAATATAGTAGTATGTTAAGTCGAAGGTACATTCGCTGTGCATTACAGACGAGAACCATCAAAAAGAGCCGAAGCCTCATTCAAGCTTAAATAAAAAACTGGATCTTTGTTAAGATAATTACGGCGAATAAAAACGACGCGTAATAAAAATAATGATTGATTCAATTTTTCAAAATAAGAGGCAGAATTTGAGAAAAACGGGACTGGTTAAAATCGAGGAGGCCCGAGCAGAACAAAAAGTCACTCAAAAGTTATAATGATATCAAAATGAGATCGAAAAGTAATCATTTCTAAAAGTCAAGATGACATCATTCAACACATTTAATGAAACGTAATTTGACTTTACTGTGACTGTATTTTGAGTATATTTTGACTTTCATCGAGAAAACGCAAATTGCTCGGACAAATGATTAAAATGTAAAATAATTAAAACCTCGCGGTTATTATTGTATTAGGTATATAATATTTTACGAATTTGTAAAAATGTTTGATTTTTAATGCATTAGGTAGTATTGTAACACATAAAGTTTACATACACAAAAATTTTCAATAATTGGAGCGCTATTGCAACAGCATATTCCTGAGACCAAATCAAGTAAAAAAAGTCCTGTACTATTTTTCCCTCCGACAAACAGTTATCGAGATATCATAAGCTAAACATTGAAAAAGTTATAAATTTTCTCTTGAATATCTCAAAAAGTATATTTAGGCTAGCGCTACCATCTAGCTTTATTCAACCATATCCAAGAAGATACTGATATTAAAATTAAGAGGAAAAGAATGAATCAAAAATTCTTTCTGCTGTGTAGAAATTATCGCATCTTTTTTTATATTAGGTTTTTTTATGTTGTCATTAATTTTCGTTTTGTTTCTCTCTCTTTTTCAACACCAAAATTCTTTTTACTGTGTAGAGATTATCGCAACTTTTCTTATATTAGGTCTTTCTATGTCGTTAATTTTCGCTTTCTTTCTCTCTCTTTTTCTTCAACATCCAAATGTATATCTATCTCGTTTTAAGCGAAAATTTTGGGGAATTTCAAGTAACATGAACAAATCTAGTGAATCTATTTGAATCGACTTTTCTTACGTCGCATATTGTAAACACAACTTCGGGCGAATAACTATTTTTTGGCGACGTAAGAAAATTTATGTAAATGTTGTCGAATTCATTAATTACTGCCATCATTTGTAACATGAATCAAGGAAACTCTTCAGTTCAGTCGAGAAGGAGATTTGCAAAAAATGGCTCGATCTCGTCACACGACAGCAATTGCAAGTAGGTTATATTAGAATGTTATGATTGCAATGATGAAAAATGTGCACCTTTGTAGTGATTATTCAATGTATCGCTCGTTAAGAAATAATAGTGTAATATCTTGTCAGATTAAAGATGTTGCCCTCATCAACATGCATGTCGGATACCTCAACCGGAGATCTGAAGGTAGATCTTTCGGAAGATAGCAAAATCATTGGTTATGGCAAATCTTCGACTCGAGTTAATAAAACGGTAGCTGTGTGATATATATTGTGGATATAAAATGCCAAAGTATGTTGTGCCAAATTATATTGAATCACTCGGGTATTAGGTTTCCAATGCGAATCTTTCCGCGAGAAAATTGTGGAACGGTGCGTCCAAGATGACCAGAAATTCCTTTGCTGTAAATGACGTAATCGAAGAAGGTTTTGTATCTTAGAATCGAAATCTTTCTATTTTGTAATAACGCAAAACACACATAGGTTGGAAAGGAGTTGCTATTTAAATACATTACAAAATTGATTAGTGTTTTTAAAGAGGTGTTGCATTGAGCGCTCAGAGCATTTGTAATTTTATCTGGTATTGTATATCCGCTATCGCGACATGTATTGATTTCAGAAAATGAGCTTCTTGGTATATTGACGAAACAATTGCATTTAGCTGAGTTACAAATGCGAAAAATGCAGTCCGTTTTGACGAAAGCTGAAGAAGGCTTGCGAACTAAAGATCAGGAAATTGGACGCTTAAAGCGGAAGGTTCTCTGTACGCTTTCTTTAAATCTGAGGAATGCTGTATTATCTCATAATATTCATTTAGAGCGTAATAGAGATCTAGTCTTTCCATATTTGTATCGTGTGTTTATTCTAGTCACAAAGTAACACCGAGCTCATTTCTTTGCGTATTCTGTTCTTGTATTTTTTCATACTTTGGAACTTATATAAAGTGTATTTCGATACAATTTCTCCTCTTTTTTGGATGATATATCGTTAGTTATTTTGGTAGATTAAAGAATGGGAAGCTAAGTACAAGAGTCAGGAGTTGTTACGAAAAAAAGAGCAACGAAGCCAAGCTAATAATTCCGAGTATTTCTATCACCGATGTCTAACGCTAGAACACAAGATCAGCGAGATGGAGGTTTAAATTTATCTTTTAAATATGTCCGCTGTGTTCATTTAAAACACAAGTAGTAATTAGCAATTTTGATATACTGTAGAAGTTCTTAGCCGATTACGGATTAATGTGGGTAGGTGACCCCAAAAATGCGGCGAACGTCGATGGTGGCAGCAAGTAATAAGAATAAATATTTTTGTTACTGACTGGTAGAAGTAACATATATCTAATAATCAGTTGTAATTCCGTTGTAGTAATTACATCAATGCCTGCTATGAGCAGTTAGTAGCGAATATCGATCAGTTGAACCTAGCTGCGGGAAAGGGCGAAGTTCACATTCGCCATAATGATAGAGGAGGAGGAGCGACATTCAAAGTAATGCTCTAGTCTTGTAATGTATTTATAAATCACATAAATATTTAGCGAGATTAACAATCGCGAAATTACGTGATACATTTTTAATATACTTTGCAAATGTCGAAGATGGAGTTAACATATTTATTAATTACTTGTAATGTCGATCAGTATTTTCTTTATGCATTTTAATTCTAATTTTTATGCACTTATTTATAATGCATTCTAATTAAAGACTCCTTCCTGTATGGCATTGAAATTCTATAAAAACGGTATGAGTGTTAATGGAGGACCGTTGCGATTTTACGATGATCCATCTGCAAGCTCGTTCATTCGTGATATTCTAGATGGATATTTTCCGTCTGAATTGCAACAAGAATATCCTGATGGAGTGCCCTTTATGGTAAACGTAGAATAGTTGAATAGAATTTTAGGACTTTCCGCATTTCTCCTGTGGATTCTTTGATTAATGCGAAACTGACAGAATTTAGTCTGTTTTTCTTCGAGAATTAAATTTTTCATTCACACTTGTAGATCGAAGATCGTAGAACAGAATTGCGTGTAGACGATGCCGCTTGCTTTCCTGGTCAAGGATATCGGTTGGGAAAACAGTCTCCAGTAGATAACTTGTTATCGACAAATTCGCGCAGATCAAATAGCGTTCACCAAAGATCTACTCGTGCAAACCCTTCGCCAAAAGATAACACTTCCGAGAACGTTCCGCTTTTATCGCTTCCAAATCGGTATTATCACTATTTACAATTAGTCTGAACAAATATGTAGATATATAAGCACCTGACTACCATATTATAATATACATCCTAAAATATGAAAAATGAGCAAATTTGTTTTATAATTATAAAGAAATTATAAGGTGATAATTACGTAAATTGCTAAAGAATTTCTAATGCATCTTTATACTCACTCCTAGTTTATTGGATCCCACAACTTCTTCGGAATCGCCTTCTGTCGATTTATTTTCTTTGAGATCGCAAATTTTGGCTTCGCATAATAATGTCTGCTCTAGTTCTCACCTTCAGTCTCATATTAATGCTGAAATAGCACGAAGCAGTCGGCGAGAGAAAGTACACCCTTTTACCTATTAAACTGTCTAAATATTGAAATATTACAATATTATATATCATTAATATTATATACAATTTCTGCTCCGAAAAAGAGAGAATTGACTACGAAAAGTGTCGAGTATGATATATCGATGGGTGAGCAATCATCCAAGTCGAGAGATACCTTGAGATCTACAAGTAACAGTAGGACGAGGCATCACAGCTTTTCCGCTAGATCATCATCAAGGTTTTCTTTAAAATAAAATAATCAACTTTTATTTACGTGCTCAAGTCAAATTTTCCCAGTAGGTCACAAATTGTTGAAAATCGCTTTCGATTACGTTCGAAATCTGCTAGTTCGTCCGGAGAGCGATTGGGTGTCTCTATGACATCGGTATTACGGTCAAAAACGTTAAGCACAGCGAAAATCAATAATACCGGTGAACTCAATATTGCCAATCTCGCCCCTGAATATTTCGCAACGAAACATCCTCGAGGTTCAAGATCGGCTACTTGTGCGAGAAAGAGTACGGTGAGGAACATGTTCAGCTAATAACCGAACTGGATGAGACATGTAAAGATCAGTTGCGTCCAAAATTTCTACTTGAAAGTCCAAATTTTACTATTTCAGCCTCCACTATTGCGTCAGGTTAATGAGGCTACTGGAAAATCCAATGAGCTGCGATTGAAAGTTAGATCGTTAACGGGTAGTACTATATATCTGGTGCATGTCTTGGCCGATGAGTCAGTGGCGAAATTATATGAATTACTTGATAAAGCTATGCAAATATCCGCGCATAGAAGATATAAAGTAGTATTGAGCGGGTGAGGAAATATCTATTCAGATTGATATTCTTAATTTACAAAAATTAATAACAATTACGAAATAATTTACAAAAATTTAACCCACTTCCGTTTTCAATTGATATTATTGCTTAAAGATATTCGCCGAAGAGATTGCAACGTGCAAATACATCCCTAAAAGAAAGCGGAATTAACAGAGATTGTGTTCTCCATGTTGTGAACGATTGAATATTTATCGACTCGTGAAAGTAGGTTTTACATTTATATATGTTGTGTATCGACAAGTATGTGGAAATCCTAAAAATATAAAATCTTTGATATATAAATTTGCAAATAAAACAATGTATACAGCATTCTATTCTTTGAAATTGTATTTTTAAATTAATTAATTTATTTTGTCGAATAGAAACAATAACGGTAACGATACAGAAACAAAATGCTAAACGGTAAAAAGTGATGGATAAGTACAGATATAATTGTTATCAGTAATAGGTAATTATTTTTATGATGCATTTTTAAAGTACTGCTTAATTTTACAAATAGATTTTGTTGATTAATAATTTTTAGTCAAGTTATTATTGCAATAAGATAAATGATAGACATCTGTAAAAACGTTAAATAATTATCGGACGAAGAAATAGATTTTACCTTAGTATGGTACATATTTCAATATTTCAATATTGATGTTCGCCTGGCTGGGTATATATTTCTTGGTTAATACTTGCATGGGGAGCAAACTAGCATCTTCATTGTAATTAACCCTAGGCCATTGCACCGTAGTTCAGGTTTGTAATTACAGCGTGGATTGATTTACGATTCTGTTATTAACTATGTATCAGCACATAAAGTTCTAATGTTTAAAGTTAAAGGTGCAATTGATATTAAATTTTTTGTAATACTAACACTCCCCCTTTTCTTATTAGCCATGTTATTCAAATTTTTATTCTATTATACTACTTATAAAATATTACCAATACCTTTATTACTTTGATATTAAATTACTTTTAAATTTATCAATTTATAAATGTACAATTAAAGTAAAATATTATTTTAGAAATGATTCAGATGGTTTTATCAACGGTATAATAATGTTATTACAATAACATTTTTATTCGTATGATTAATTATTTTAAAATTTAAGTATTGAAAAAACATAAACTTTTGGACAGCAATATTTTATATGTAGAAGTGTTTTTTTCTTATTTCGTTACTTCTTCGCTAAATTGATCGCTAACGAACACGAGCTGAATCAAATCTAATAAAAAATAATAAAAGAAAATCTAATATGTTTCTATGAATAGTTTTTATTAATACATGAAACAATTCTCTCGGTTTTACCAATATCAAATTCGTTACAACTATGCGTGTCTAGAATTATGCGTATTAATAACATATGTACGTGATATGCGATGGATTAAGTAACATGATAGTACTTATGCGAATGTTGATATCAGGAAAATTATGGAATTTCCTATCATCATCGACACAAACCACGTCGTGAGAGCTCCGAGCTCTATCAATCAACGGGATAGGACTCGCGCAGATTTATCTATGGGCTTCCGCCGACGGATCTGTCATCGGATGCATTTCGATCAGATATCGCAGTGGGACGGTTAATAAGAGGTCCTGTTTGTCAATCGATATCCAAACTAGATGACACTCCCCCGGGAAATTTCTGCCGTATTCCGCTCGTAAATTTCATGAGCCGAGCTTCGCTTAAGAACTTGATCATGCATCCGCATTATCGCAAAATGAAACCAATAGAGGAATCTTACCCTTATACGCAGATATATTAAGCTTTAAGCTATTTCTTTAAAAACTAAGCAAAATTTCCAGACAATGGTAACACATAGACGCAATGTTATATGCCTACATGTGCGTATGTGTGTGAGTACATATTGATAGTATTGCTAAGTTAAATGTGAGGAACAGTTTACATCGAATGAGAAATTGTTTCCGATTTTTTCCAACGTCTGAAGCCAATAATGAATAGAGTACTTTCGTATTTTTATTTTGCCAATAATCTATCTTGTCTTATTTCACTTTGTTATTGCTAACGAATAGCCGGCAATAAATCCCGTTTTTGTCGCTTGTAACGTGCGATTTGTTAACGAACCGATTACACAGCAAAAAGGGGAGTAATTGTGTCGAGACAAAGAAAAGTGAGGATGACATCTGCTTTAAAGCATTGGGGCATTAATGGATCTCTCCATTGGTTTTAGCGCCTCGAGAGATAAAACATAAAAAAGGAAAGAAAGAGAAAAAGACGATGGAGCAAAAGGATCGTTTGTTCCACGGTCTCGTTAAGCAATATTGAAATTTTTTCTCTCGTTTACGAATTTTGCTCGCGTCGCTTAATAAATTTATTGTACATATAGCTTCAATAGACATCGAAAATTCAAAGATATAATTTAGACACCAATTCAGATCATAGAAGAATTGTGTTACAAAAATTAAAAGTTAAAAGAAAAATATTACTAGAAAAACTAGAAATAAATTTATTAACAGACTGAACCTTTGTTAAAAATTTACTTTTATTTATCGATCATGTTTCCGTGGAGTGTACACACTTGTCATGAGAAATTCTTCAAGAAGTGTATCAGAGTGTTCGTGTTAATGGTTAGCTGTTCCTGAAAGCTATCAAAGCTTCGCTCTAGGGATGATTGCGTTCCATGTACCTTCCCCTCATTTTTCTCCTGGTCTCAAATGTCGGGAAATGACCTGGATTTTACCGTACTCTCTTTGAAGCGACACGACTAAACGAATGCAATTTTCGATATGACGTAGCTGTAATGTGCTTACTTCGATGATGATTTAGCCTTTTTATAACAATTTAATGTGCTGTTTCAATAGCACGAAATGTATGCGATGGAGACGCAGAATTTAAGATACAAAGTTTCTCAAGTTTGGTATTTATAAGTCTTCTTCTCTTGTGTTGCATTGACGATATCTGACACTGTTTTTAAAAGCAATTGCAAAAATAATAACAGATAATGTGGTCTCTTAAATTCTGAATAATTGCAAACTACGTACAATCAATTAGTTTCAATTATAAATAACGTTTTTAAATAATCAAAATGTACATTACAGTGACTAACGATTAAAAAAGCAAACGATAAATATTAATGATAATTACCAATTTTTCATTCAATAGGTTCGATAATGGTAGATTCTTTGCTAAGAATGGATTTAATGTTTATCTTATAAAACTGAATCCAGGCTTGAGGCTGAAATTGAAATCGGAAACCTTTAGAACACAACTACAACTGTTAACGTGTAAACCTTTCCAAGTTAAATACTAGAACTTGTTCCATTCGTTATTCTGCTCGGGTTGCATTTTTCTGTTGGCTAAATTGAATCTTTGACTCGATTAGAGAATCTGGGAGTTGCGCAGTTGTCCAGTCATGCATATTTCACCGATTCCTTTATCTGCTTTGTTCTACGGATATCGGATTATATACGATTATGGATTTGCGATGTAACAATTTCCTCGAATTCCGTCGAATATAGTCGCTTTCTGTACCGCGAATCGTTGAGAGCTATTGGATGCATTATCGGAATATCTTGCCAGTGGATTTGTCGAGAATTGCGAATCTACGGTTTCTGATTAGCATAAACATTTTAGTGATAGTTTTGAATAATCAGTCAAAGGCATAGTCTGAAATATTTTAATCGGGTGTTAGTTTTGATTGGCAAATTATATTATATTGATTTATCGTCTTGTCCTCGAAATTTGTGCTGATAGAATCATTTGTGAAGAAATGCAACGGTAGAATCATACTTACCTAAATGTCTCGCGAATATACTTTCGAAAAACTGATAGCCTTCGCCTGCCATTTATAAGAGAATTATAGAGAAAATTAAAGAGAATACAAAAGCTATGATATTATACGATAGTAAAATTAATTGGATTGCGTAGATGAAAGAATTTTGGAAAAGGAATAGAGAAATGAAATGTATACGATTGAGGAATACATGTATACGAAGAAAACGAGAAAGTATACAACATATTAACGTGATAATTTTTACAATTTTTAATCTTCTAATTTTACCACAAAAAGATTTTTTCTCCTCAGAGGTTAGGTTTTCCTAAAATAATATTTAAAATTACAGGATTTTATGTCCTCAAATATTCATTTTTCTTCTGCAATGACGCTTTTAATTTTACGTCTCTTTTATGATTAATTTTTTCATAGTGATCTGTCTTTAAAAAAAAGAGCGTGTCTTTAACGTTACATAATCACTGAAATTTTACACTACGGTAATAATAGCTTTGAGGGGTAATAGAAATATATTTTAAATCCACAATTTTATATACAGATTGAAACTTTTACGAGCGCCAAGAAAGTTTATTTCCTGTATTATTAAAAACTGTACAATCGGTGTTCAAATCTTTTATTTCGATGTGGAGAAAGTGTCGAGTTGTTCTTGCTGATAAACATTCATAAACATTTCTTTTGACTAGAGTTTTATTACTAACGCGCCAATTTTTCAGTTTTATGCAACGAAAAAGTGAATGATTTTGTCGGAACAAAGTGATAATCGTATATGTATAATAATAATATTCAACTGTTTTTGGATGTTTCAGAAAATTTTCATGAAAGTGAGAGTATAGAAATAGTTCTTATGCAAAAATGGAAGTATTGTGTCGTGTTGCATACACTTATGATATAGATTTGCTCCACTGAAAATTTATACATTATTCGCACAAATATACATATAGAACCATCGGGCTAATAAATTCCGTGACGAATGTTATTAATGACCTTAATGATTCAGATAAATTAAACTTCCACCTTTTTTTTTTAACTATGTCATGTGTATAATGCAGATGCATAGTGTAGTCGTACAAACATATCGAATTAAAAATGTGTATCGCAAATTGTTTGTTATTATTGGCAGTATAGTTGACTTTTACGGTTTTTTTACCTCTCCTTCATCATTTTTTTCGTAAACGCAACATTTGTTGTTAACTATTTGCATACATACATACTTGTAGAATTGTTCTCACTCTCTCTCTTTTTTAACGGCTCATAACGTATCAATAAATTCGCTGAACGACGTAATCTCTTTAACAAACAGCGATACACGCACGTAATAATGTTCACAATACGGAACGTCGCAACGTATGGCTAAAAACTGTCGAAGAGTTAACCTACTTTACCTTTTCTTCTCGTGAAAAACACTCGCTGTACACGCGTCAGTATGATAATAAACTATTCGATTGTGTCAAAATACGACTAGATCTTTTAGCGCATTTGCACGCTTCATAGATTTTCTCGTCTAGCGCACGGGTGCGTAATATGTACGTATATATGTACACACGTCGACGCATACATACATATACAGATTTATACATATACATTATAAGTGTATTTATAAATTGCACATACATTTATACAAAAGATTTATAAACCACTTCTCAACAGTTAGTATGTTTTATTTATGGTACAGGAAGGGAGAGTTAGAGATGCCAGTGTGATCGTATTTCTTTACCTGTCATTCGAAGTATCTTACGACTCAATTTCTGACTGATTTTTACAAATGCAAACGCAAATTTTATAGAGGGCTGCCAATATTTCTCTTAAAAAGGATTTATTTTACACTAACTTATTTATTTGCTACTCTCAATGTAGTGAAAGTAATTTTCTATAATATATACCAAACACACATAATAATATATATATTATTATTTATTATTAAAAATTTATATATTATATTTGTTGTAACTCTTTTGTCAACGTATTGTTGACTTTGTTGTAGCTCGAACTTTAAATTTTTTTATCTCCCTAATTAAATCATTAAAACTGATTTCTGACGTAAGCAACAATACATAATTTTTTAATTAACTATTAATCGTATTTTTTTCACTAATTATATTTCATCAATAAGTTTAGAAGTAACATTTGAATAATTAATGCTGTAAATTTTTCGTAACAATAAGCAGTACTTGCATTTACTTTCTGTAAATTCGAGTTTTGTACCCGCACATTTTTACTCGAAGTTATTGGACGCATGGCATTTTTTTAGGCTAAACTCTGGCAGTGGTTATTAATTCGAATTTGGTCCGAGTCATACGATACAATTGTCCATTCCGTTTTATTGCCCTGCGCTTATCGTGCTGTCGCGAGTTACATGCGAGTTTTATTTAGCCGTTCGTAGCCTACGATCATTTACTTGTCTATTGGTTCTGTCTGGTTTGCATCTTTGATCGAGATTACGAATGGTAAAATATTTACCTCGTGAATATTATGGTTGCAGCAAAATTGCGTCCGAAATTATTGTCACTGGAAACTGCATTCCAATAGACATTGGCGTTAGCGTGCGACTATATCAGCGATCCTGCGATTTACACATTCACACGTAGAATTGCAAAATCGCAATTACGACCGTATTTTGATCTCAGTTATCGATTACATGTTACTGCCAATAAGTTAAGAGATAATTGTGAATATTTAGATATTTTGCAATGGATAATCTGATGTTTTATGATTTATTTATTGGTTCCCGCGAATAGTTTTTAGCCTACAAATCGCAGTACGGGTGGGATATAATTCTATATGTGAAAACCAGTCGATTTAACAAGCTTTGTCGATCTTATAAATCCGTTTCGATATGTTTAACTTGAAATTCGGCTATAATATCGGCTCGCGTTCCGTCGCGGACGGTTTCTGGCCCGGTTGGATACTTCGAACAAATGTCCGGCTTTCCACTCGATTCTACCGTTGCCCCGGGGAATTTCGAAACACCAGCAATTCCTGGTCAACTAGCATTGCGCCTGGCATTTCATTTTCTATGCAGTTCCCGTTATTCCGGTTGATCCGTGACATTCACGCACTAGCACTTTTCAATTTGATACGGATCCGGCCTCGATTCGTTGGTCAGACGTATGCTACAGAGAGATACGCGTTGTTTACGAACAGTATTCCGTTGTCTTCACAGACCGGCAGACCCGATAGTTCCCGCGATCCACTCGTTTCGTTGATGCTGCCTGTACAAACAGTTGCACGTGAGCAACCACATAGTTTCCATCCATTATCCCGATTAGAGCGCACGTCCTTGCATCAACGTGTCGGTTCCATCGATATCTTCGCGGATACACGCGGGATCATACGTGCCAGGGTGTAATCTCGATTTTGCTTAATCTCCGAGAATATCACACGAGCTAGCTATATCACACGCCCATTTACCATAGTTCTGTTGAAACGATACGAGAATGCGTTATCGGAGCTTCTTAAAGCATCTCGCGAAAAAGAAACACTAATTTCGATCACAGCATTCTCGTCCAATTGACCTCAGTCTCAGATTCTCGTTTGCACGCTCTCGATCGATGATTTGACATCGTCGTCGGCGCGGGATGGCCCTCGTTGCGGTTTACCAACCCGCCCCGGCGACTATATGTGCTATAAGCACGTCTCTTTCTGATCTATCACGTTGATGACCACCGAGGCCTGCGTGGGCAGTTCCTTTTGGACAGGCACACCTGTCGGTACCTCTTCGAGTATTGGTCAAAGGGTCGTGGTCCTCGAGACCGTTACTGAGGGTGGCGGTGGCGGCGGGGGCGGCGGGGAAATTACTACGTCCGGTTCACCACCCGCTAGGTCGCAGTCGAATCTCCAGAGAATATTCTCAGGGTGGTCACCTCCTAACATAGTACAATAGTCGATAATTCAGTGGCATAATATCGAGTGAACAGCATAAATGATTCCACGTCAATATTCAGTACAATTCATTCTTTATAATTAATTGTAGTACAGATAATTCTTAAACCTTGGATTTATAAAATACTTTTTCGCTATACGTTTGATTGGAAAAGGAACGGAAGTTCTCATAATAATTTGACAATTTAATAGTTTAAAGCAATGCGATCATCATTTCTTTCCATATTTTATACCTTTGAACAAATCAAATCTGTTGACATTTTTCCAATTTTGCTACAGTAACGATGTCGCAAACACTGTGCATTTAATTTATGCGAACTTAATCGGCACGATCAACGTGACCACTTGACTTAGCAAATATAATAGGACAATCGATATTGGTGACCGGCTAGATGGTCGTACCTTGACCCAAGATGATGCCCGAAGAGCCCCGTCTCTGTCTCGGCGGAGGTGCTTGGTGTTTGTGCGAATGGTGGCTGTGATGATGTGAATGTGAGTGGCAGTGCGTGTGACGCGTGTGCGTGGGGGTGACTTTGCACGGTGGCGGTAGCTGTTGTTGCGACTGTTGCTGCTGTTGCTGCTGCTGCTGTTGAGGACGAAGATGAGGACGAGGCCTGTGCTAGGTGTTCCCGCCATGGGACACCTGATCGAAGCTCAATGATTTCTTCATCTCCGTCATCGACAACGCACCACCCTCCTGCTGAGAAATAAGTAAACGCAAGTGTTAGCTATATCGGGCTGACTAGCGGAGAGCTGAGTTCTACGATGACACGAGTGGACAGACGAGTTATTAAAAGTTGTGCCAAGTTGTTAAAAGTTTGTAAAAGTAGGCGGGAAGATTGTCATTGGGCCACCGCGCGCCAGCGTTGATAACTATGTCTTTAGAGTCTTGTCTGTTTGAAACGGCCGGCACGTGCTTCGCGAAATAATCTTTTTTTACGGGAATTCCGGGGTGCAGTAATGTCGATATGGCTTTCGGATCACGTTTTTAGAATGGAACGAGGCGTGCGAGGTACACGTAGACATATCGCTGGTTAAAAGACTGCTATGAAGGCGGAGCTTACGGTTAATAAAACGAATTTCTCTACGAATAGTCTAGACAGATCAATCCTATATAGATAATTCAAAGGAAGATATGAAAGAGATAATTATTCACTAACACGCACACTAACACAATTTAACATCGAGTAATTCTAATAACACGAATAAAATGAATACATCAAATGCGTGTATTTTAACATTTATCATCGGTTGATTATTTGATATTTTATTTGATCGATATCAATTTATTATTTTTGTCGTCGCATTTGTCCGCAGGGTATTATACAATATGTAAATGTTAGATATGTTTGAATAATCTACAATTTAGCGCTGTACTTATGAATCAGCGCGAAAATCATGATTTGAGGAGTGGTAATGTGACAGATAATGAACAGAGAGCACTCGAATTTGATGGAGACATAATAATGCGGTCACACTCACAGTGCGGTTTATTGGGATTCAGAATTCAGAATGCGCGTTGTTCGCGGGAAATACAATTGCATTTTCTCAACAATGCAATGTCGCTATTTATATCGTGTATCATCGACAAATGGTATATTAACCACGAGTTAATTGCTGTCAGATAGTCGAACACATTACGTGTGTTACGATGCAATACATTTACATTCGCGGACACCACAGATTCTCGTTTGTGTACGTAAAATTGTGCACCGCGTGCCAGATAACTTTATAAAAGTAATCATTCTTTTTATCTTGAAAAGAATGAGTGCTGACAATGATTGAAGAGTTTGAATGGTTTTGAGGTCGATTCTGCAGTCTATCACTTTATATTATCGTAGCAGTATTTGGCAGGTGGCATTTCGAAAGATATATCACATATTTGCAAGAGACACTAGAATTAGAAGTAATAGTTATATTCAGCTTTGAACGGTTAATTAAATTTAGTTGAGTCTTTAATTCTACGACGACACGGTTACAATTAATCATAAGGTAAATGAGACAGTCCGTGTGATGAAAAGGATACAATGTTAAAGAGCAAAGAGATCAAATGGAAAACTGTCACTTTTGTATCGGAAATTTTTTCAGAGCGTGTCGTATCGAATATCTCGCATAGTTTATGAATACTAATAAAAAGTATTGTCCGGTTTAACTCGTATCATCTAAAAGTGAATTAATTGCATACTTTTTGGAATGTTTTTGAAACTTTTTAGTTCTTTTAGATGTTTTGGTTAATTCTTTGGCTAATTTTTAAGAATATACTTTTCAAATGACAAGAGAGAATTTTTGTCGGAAACAATAATTTTTCTTCAAAACATGCATGCGCAAAAACTAAACACTGATACTAACTTTAGAAATAATATTGATTTTCGATAATCCTCATAATTCTACACTTTAGATTAGCTTAAAATAAAACAAATAATTCCCCATGTTACAGGATATAGCGTAATTATAGTTTTATATTAGAATTTCTCATGCTCTTTTAAAGAGATAACATAAAAAATAATACAATTTACAAAATATTCTTATTTGCAAACTCTTTTATCGCGAGTTCTTCTCATAAAATTTTAAGAGGCTTGCGCAGTTAGGCAATAAAATATTTTATTCTTTGTACGTTTTTATGAAGTTAGTTTATTTCTGTGGCAAACATTTGTATTCTCGTTTTATGTGAAATATTCCTGATAGATTTACAACAAATGATAACTTTCTATAAAAATGTAACATATACGTTCCTCTGAAGTTTACAAAATACGGTTTATATTGCTCAACGAAAAAATAACGTTATTGATTTTATTCATCGCGTAATATCTGCATCGTGAAACTAAACCATTCTCCATAGAAATTTCACTAAATTGCGCTCGAAGGTATAATGCGCAATAAAGCGTACACTGTTGTTGTTACAAGTTTATGCATGCAATTATGTCTAACGTACGATACTGTAATTGTAAGCGTGTATGACATGATCCTGCATTGCAGGCAGTTCGTTAACTGCAAAACATAAAACGTGCGTAAACGGAAAATATCTTGTAATAGAACACACGTTTTGTAATGTGCGTGGCACACGCGTCGTAAAGTAGTCTCGCAATCTAAAATCAATACAACGGCCAAAAATATATACATCGTACAACACACACAGATAGACGTGGGTGTACAATAAGTCCGTGCGAAATCCGCGTGGGAGGCAACTTGGCGATTTGTAATACTCCCTTGTCAAATGATGTGGCGGAATCTTTCTCGATTACCCATTATTTCCCTGATTTTGCGTTTCTATAGTGTAAAAAATATTTTGGGGGGGGGGCTTCATGGGAGCTGTACTCTCAGCACGGTAACGTGAATCTTCGACTGACATGCAGCACTGCATATACATATATTGGCTCTCAAGAATACTTTCTCGCTAACACAAAGACGAGAAAAATCCAGGGTTCACGTAATTGGCTTTGTTCGGCGAAATTGAATTACCGTGGCATGAGTACTGCTCCGTGCGACCAACAATCGGCTCTCCTCGGAAAACTCCTGTAATCTGCTACCGCGTTTCTGTCTCTCCTGATTGTTTCGCCACTTTTTTTTCCCGCGAATATGTACGCCAATGACAATTTGCTCAAGTCCGTTTCAAGTGTCTGGGCAGAATTCGTAATTGCGTCGCGCGCAACACGAATTCCTTAAGTCGTCGTTACAGTTTTGTGAACATGAAATTGAAGTAAAGGTAGAAAAATGCCGAATTCGCAGTTTGCACTAAAAATTGCATCCCCGAAGACACCGATCGCAAGACTTGATCGCGTGCCCGTCGTGTGGGACAAGACTTACACCATTTAATCGCGGGATCTCGATGCTCGGTATGTAGGTAGTCTCCTCATGTTCGGAGGAGCAGAGGCGCGTTCTTCTCCTGGAGGAACGCGGGCTGCAACGGCCGCACAGCCCGGCGGCCGCGGAATTGCGTGATTTCGCAGCGGGCCTCTGCCGGGAACCGCAACGGACGGCGAATCGCAATTCCGAGGCCATCTCGGCACAGAGAGACTGTCGAGCGGTTAAATGATGGTCGATGCGCAGGAGGTGCATGTGCGTGTTTACCGTCCAAGAAGTAATCGTCGACGATGCAGGCAGTGGACGCCGGTACGACAGATACAACATACATCAAGAGACAATACACAAAACGATCATACGAGACCCGAACGCATGCAAGGCTGATTTCTCCATCACGTGAGGTCGTTTGCTCATCAAGACGTTCCTTCCAACAAATATAGCTTCTCACATTAACATCCAGTCTATATGCATTCAACTTGAAAATTAAATACACGTCAAGATTAAACATCAGCGAAAATGAGAGGGCTGGTACTTGATTGAATACGCAAGAGAATGGAAAGATTCAAAATTAAAACACATTCTTCGTGTGATTGTACTTTATCGTACTATTGTAATTCTCTTTTTGGAATAGAATTGAATCCATTACATTTAATATGCATTCTGCCTGTTACGCTCAGCGCAAAGCAGTATGAGTGATAACAATAATGCATCGTGGATATAGGAAATAACAAATTGGAAATGATCATTACGAGAATTTGAGGAGTGACGGAATTTTGTGAATCAAGATTGAAACGACCTCGCCTATCGAAGAGAAAGTACAACTCATGCAGCACGTTCACATAAAATTCTATTTTGCCGGCGTCTCGTTCAGCTTACCCTGTCCGATTGAGAATTCTTCTTGGAGTTCCAGCAGAACTCGAGGATCGCTACCAGGATCGCCAGTGCCAGACCGCAGAGCAGTACAACGAAGACACCGCCTGAAATGACAAAACCGAAAGCACATTATTTTAATGACAGCGAAATCGCTCGTCCTTCTCTAATTTCGCTGTGAGCGAGACGCCGTTGACAGCTACGAAGTACGACGGGGCGTGTTTGTACCCTATTTCAAACTCTCTTCGTGACTCCTCCGCTCTCTCTCTCCCCCTGCCACCCTTTGTGGCGCTAGTTTGTCGAGGAGCAAAAAGAAGAGGGAAGAAGTACGGCCAAAGAAAAAAGGCTCGCAGCGACGGCCGCAGAAAATCGTGCGCGCAATATCTAAGCGAAGCGTGCGCTCTCAAATCGATCGCGCTATACTTTTTGGTCTGTTTCATGGAGAAACTTGGCGATGGAGCATTCGTGGGTAACGATCGTGAGTAGGGCGTGCGTGGAAACGTATATACTGATAAATGGCGAGGTGCTTGTATTTATTGCGATGCGAGAGTCGTGCGAAAACAGTGAAGTCGGGAGGGATATTTACGTTCGATACGAAGTTTACCCCCGATAGAAACGAAAGGATGGAAAGTATGCGGAAGTTCAAGAGAGCGTTGCATTCGGAATTAACAGTTGTTTCCACAAAGATCCCCAAGATTATTTGTAAGACCGGAACTTTCTGACACGGGTCATGAATTGATATATGCTAGCTGCTTATGAGTTGCCACTTTTCTCACTTCTTTAAGCGTGGATAAACATTCGATATTCCGTGTAATCGTTAGTTACGATAACTGATAAAATTTGTGAAGGATTAAAAAATGCTCAATATTTATTATACTTTTTATCTCGGAGCTAATAAATTTAATGATTATTGCGAGATATAGAATGTTGGACTAGCTATAAAAAAATTGGAGCAAACTGCTTTGGGTAAACACTTCAACTTCCTTGCCAATATTTCTCTGTACGTGATCAGAGATGAGTTTCCACTTTATTGGTCGAAAATACGGTGCAAAGTTCGTTTTCGTGCAGTCAGCAAATTCGCCTTTCGCGAACTTCTCAATTTCTCCCGTATAAATTCCATGCTGAGAAGCTAAGCCATTAGGAATTAATCATTTCCTGCAGCTATTATCTATAATTTACTCAATCATTTTTCAACTGAAATTTGTAAGATATATTTCTTCCAAATATTTAAATTGCTTTCAATTATTTGCGCGCACAAAACAATTATTTTAATTCGTAGGAAATAAAAATTAAACGTAATAATAAAAGGCAGAGAGAACTTTGTGAAATACATTTGCTAATGCTGGGAAACATTTTTATCAGTGAAACTTTTAGCTATATATTTCGAGCCAGGAGAAAGAATGGGAAACAAAGTATGTAGGAAGGAGGGGCTTTTGAACAGGCTAAAAAGTGTCCACTTATCGTTGACGGCAAGACAACTGAGATCTCGAGGGGAGGGGGATGCAAAGTAGATTTGCATAACTACACCGTCGTGATTTATGACGACAGTCCGGACGTCTCACCGGAAGGACGAAAGTTACTCGCGCGGGCGCCTGGATATCACTAGGGCTTTGCCTATTTCACGAAACGATATCAAAAGCTGGGCCCGGAGCGAGGTCGTGCGACATTGTACACCTAGAGGCCGATCCAAGTTCCGCGGTGGGAAGTTCTGTTCACCGAGTTACAGGATATATGCCTAAGTTTTCCGTAAAGAGACGGCGTACTCTCGCCAAAACACTTGGGCACGAACCGGGAATTATCCGGAGCTCATCGTTCTCGAAGAGATTCTCTCGCTAATTCGGAAACTCGCCGAGTTCTACCGATGTTCCGAGACAAATGAGCGAAGAGAATGCAAGGTCGCGCTAAGTGGATTCGAGTGAATTTCCGACATTGTTATCTTCACGCGAGCAGGATACGTTTATCAATTCCATTTCATTGGTCAATGAATACAGTGTACAAGAAAATATAGCGTTAGATGCATCAACGTTACTACACGTTAATAAATGCCGCATAACTCTGCATATGCAGTTTAAAATTGACTAACTTTGAGTCTATTTTACTTGATTGTTTGTTTATTTTTATTGATATTTTTTTTATTCATTACCATCATTAATATTAATAACTAAACACGACTAAAATTGAACAACAGCACTCATTAATAATTAATATGAATAATTTTTTAAATTATTTATCTAATATTGTAAGATAACGTATCAGATTTTAAAGAAATGTCTCTTTTCTTTCTCTTTATACCTTTAACTTTGATTTATTCGAGAATAATACAAATACGCGAAGATATCCTTGCGAATCTAAAAGATGATGTTCGCAGAACCAGGTCGCGACCTCTTTCTTTTCGCTGTTGTCGGACCCTGCCCGTTATCAGGTCCGCGAGAGCCGATTTCTTTCCTTGTGAAATTTTACGTGGTCTAATTATACATATAACAGCACGCCGAAAAGTTATTACAAAAGGGACATGTGGTTAGCTGTCGCGTGTAAAACAACAGGTGCTTCTCGAAAGTATTAATAATCGCACGTTAAAACCGAAAGAACGTAACTGGACACATTATACTTATGTATGATAATGAGAAAATTTTTTTCTATAATACAATAGATATTATATACTAAAAATTGCAATTTTTAATAAACGTTATTAATTTTATTAATTGTATTAATTATCGTTTATCAAATAAATAATTTTTATTATAGAATATAAAGTAGGCAGGCACATTTGTTATAATTACATTTAATATTAATTTAAAATAATTGCAAGGTTTCTCAGGCAAGTTCATGAAAAGATTTCCTACGACGTTTTTAAAGCTTCCAACAAAGTGAAAGAGCCAACCTCATATATTTCACATTTTTGTCTCAATTACTTCAACACTGGTGAAAGAACTTTCTTTTCTCGAAGGTAGACTGCTTATTCTTATTCTTAAAATAGCACGATAAAGGTCAGTGGACAACGATCACTTTTTTCCATGACAAATAATCAAGAGACATTGGAAAGAACGAAAATTAGCAATTCAACTGTAATTTCGCGAGATTTTTGCGTCTCGTTGTTCAGACACTTCGTTCTTCTTTCTGTCTTGTCTCGAGTACATTTACACCGCCGGCAAAATGGGTACTTATCCAAGTTACAAGGCGACGGAGAAACGGCGACGAGGAAAGGGAGGCAAAGTAGGTAGATAGCCCAAGAGTTTCCGCGAGTGAAAGGGAAAAAAGAAAAAACTGAATCAAAGCGGGGAGGGGAAGAAGGAACTTGTTGTGACTTCCATAAAAATCCGGAAGCGGTTCCCAAAGAGTCCTAAGAAAAATTTGTCCGCGAACTTTACGTGAGATTCCGCGGCGCTTGAAAGCCTTCTCGTTTCTTCGATTCAGACCGTGTCCAACTCGACCAAATCTCGCTGTCCTCTCGTACAGTAACAAATTAATTTGCCCAGCGCTGATTGAGATGACCATAATATTTATGCACGATCTTTCCGCATAGTAATATCATTGATATTTATTTATTTTAGCATCTAATGAATTTGGCTTAAAAAATGTCATATGCGCGTAAAGATATTGCCATTTCCAATCTATAAATATGGTTAAAACATGAGTAGATAAATAATTACCTTTTTCCAATTTTAGGTGAAAACTTTTAATGCAACTTATGTAATTTATTAATTATATCATTATCTTCTCTGTAAATATCTTAATTTCCGTTTGCATTTAATTCTTCTTTTTACATATTCGTGATTTATACTGCCGTACAACAAAATGTCTCTTTTTACGATTTTTTTAAGTCATGTTGCACGTGAAAACTTTGTAAAGCGAACAGAATATATCATAGTTGAAATGACTTAAACAGACACGCGGGGCACGCGGAAGTTATGATTATTAAACATTTCCCTTTTGTCTGCGTACATACGAAATGTGTCGCCAATGGGATATGCCGCAGCTGTGACGGATATTTATTGCATGTAAATATAACTTGTAGGCTGCATTACCGTCCAAATTTGTTGTGCTATAATTGAAATACAGCTGTGGGAGAAATATAGCAAACTCGTTTTGCTAATATGCTATTGAATGTACGCGCGCGTATCAGTAACCTGGATAAACGTGATAACTTAATAAATTAAGCAGCTATTCGAACATCGTGAAAGGGACGTTTAAAGCAATTATTTTCGGCATTCAATTTAATGAAAATTAATCAGTCCTTTGATGTATTGTGTTATGCAATCCGTTAATGGAAATGAGTATTTCACTTTAATTTATGTAAATGTACACGATACAAACGTGTTCACATATAATTTAAAAAAATGGAAAATTTTTCTTATTCTCCTCGGTTAGTTGAATCTCTTTTATTTTATTTCTTTTTATAACTTGAATGATAGAAAAATATGATTGGATAAACATACCAATATTTTCAACTCCGAGAGCGTTAGCTTTGCTTTCCTTATTCTTGTCGTCTCTGGTGCATACATCGCCCATGTTCTTCCACCATTTATCATAGAGGATCTGTATTACACCTTTTTCCTGCAGCTCCAGAATAACTAGAGATATTTTATCCCTCCAGGGCGAACCTGCATATAAAAAGCCTTCGTTAGGCTGGCCAAGGGTTTCACAATTTCTGCCTCTGCAGCATAATCTCGAGCATAACTTTACCGTTGCATTTCACGTCAAATATGTTCAACACATTATTAAATAATATACGTGTTTAAAATATACTGTTCAATCTCATAAAACATATTCAAATTTTTTTCTCGTTCCTAGACGGAAATATATAATGTTTTCGGTACAATTATTTAACCGTACAATACTTTATAAATAAAGGCAGCGAATGTTTCAACTGGGTGCGCCGGCTTATGAAATCGATATTTTCTTAGAAATTTAATTGGACATTATCTGTTTCAGAAGCTTTTAATATATTAATTATGTTAGTAATTACTTTTTAAATCAAACTTTCTATTTGTTACTATCTATTTTTCTTATTTACCTTTTGGAGTAGCAATTCCGTATCCTTTGCTGTCTAACAAACCCCCTATTTGTGTCAGATTGCAATCGCGTTGAACTGCGTAATCGAGCATGGTTGACTCCATTAAAAATGCATAGTCTCCTTCCAGGACCCTCTTTACTCCTTCTTCATAGGTTTGAACAAACACAGATGGGCTCTTCGATTCCATAAACCTCCACATTTTCTGATAGATCCCAATTTTTGAATCCTGATTAAAGTATTTAGTGCCAGTTATTTAATTCTATAATCCCTTGTATTCAGTTTTGTCTTCTACATTCCATGATTTGGGATGGAAAAGTTTTAAATAAAAATTAAGTTTGATCACATATTGAGAAGTTAATATTGTATTGAAAGAGTCATTGGCTTTTTATTCGCGAATCGGATAATTTTATTGAGCAAATAATCGGTCTATGATGTTATCAATATTAAAGTTAAATTCAGGAATTTTTTGCTCATTATTTTGCTAACTAATTCGTTCATCTTTCTGATGGAAAAACGGCTCAGATGGAATGAGATTTACAAAAAGCGGTATTTTCATTTAACAAATGTAGTTTCCTGATAAAACGTTATAGCTTAATATACGATATTTCTAAAAGTATATTAAAAATTAATTAATCATTATTATGACGTCAACAGATTTGTCAATTACATACATTCTTTTTATTTTACTATAATGTAACTTGATAATTTCCGTGTATATTTATATAAAATTTTATGAGATTTCTCTCAATTTAAACATTAGTGCGTATTGTCCATTACGATTTATTACGATATATATTTTGAGACTTTTTTTTATATCAATTATGCCTTCTTTTAATCATTTAATGGATTTAATTTTTATGCAATGTATTATAAATGAGTAACACTAATTGTAAGACTGATACGAAATATCACAGAAAACATATCGGAAAGAACTTTTAATATTTATATATATAAATAAACAAATAATAACGTATATTGTGGACAGTGTAAAATTATGTTGTACAGAAAATGTAAAAACAATTAATTTTCTATGATGTTTTGCACTCACTCTGAAGAACGTCTTCGTACTTCCACCCTCCAGAGTGCCGTAAGATATCTCGGTTTGTTCCGCGAGATCAGCAACATTCTCGATCGGCGTTATCATCCTCTCCACCGTTAGGAAAGCGGCCAGATTTGCGGTATAAGAGGAGATGATGATTAACGTGAAGAACCACCAAATGCCGCCTACTATTCTCGTGCTAGTTGCCTGATAATGAGGATTTAATCCGTATTCATATCGAATAACGCCAATAAATTTCTTATTTAACAACTCCATGGATATTCTAATTCGACGATATCGAATTATCCGGAAATCAATTAACAGCAAATTAAATTCCGTTTTACAAATGTTATTAATTCAGTCCGTATTTCTTACTTTTTTTTTCTACGGATTGCATTAACGAAAACATTAATTCGTTAGCTGATTGAGAAATTTAGAGATATAATCGCAAATTCCCGCGAATGTATGCGCGTGTGAATTTGTTTGCGAATGAAAGTACTGATTAATTTAAATAATCTCGTTAACTTCCTGTAATTTTAGAGACGTGGGGAATTCTGTAATGGCGTTAATGTTTCATGCGTTTTCGAACAATTAGGTCATAGCAGTGCCTAACGTGCTTTCTTATGCTCTCTCCAAGCAACGGAGATTGTTTAACTAACGTGTCAATAGAAAGAAAATTGTTGTAGACGTATGAAAGAAACATCTGTTTAAACTTTCGGTAGGATCTCTCGTGTGTGAATCTTTTGATACCGCGGCGCTATCGAGGCAGATACTTTTCGCCTCTGTTACGAAGGACCGTGAGAAGATTCAAAGATCGATCGAAAACGCATCAGGACATATCGGGGTGACGAGGTCGATTTAAAGTGCAATTCCGACGAAAAATTCCTCGCAGCAGTCGAAGAATGCAATACGGGATCTCATTTAGAATTCGCTGCTGGGATATTTCGATCCCATTAATGGCGAGGCCGACGATCGCGCGAACGATCGTCGAATGTAGAACACCCATGAATGATTCTCCCATTTCCGTATTGCGCGGCGCCTGCCGCTCGGGAATTGAGCGAACGGTTTTAATTCTACCGCGTGATAATATCCCGCGAAAGAGTTTGCGCGGTGGTGGTCCGCGTATTCAGAATGTGTAATGAATGTGCTTAATTTGTAACGTCGAATATAATGTCTCGTAAGTGATTTTTGCGTGGAATGAACTTTTTTAGGAACAATGCGCCCGAGCGAGTCGCTTATTTTTTATATCAATGGGGAGAAATTTTTTCGTGCGCTCATAATATCACGCGCGCATGTCTACGCACATATATCTATGCCCATACACGAAGACAATTATAGCATAAAATATATTACTATTTGCAATATTACATTCTCTCTCGCTCCGAATGCTCAACCGCGATTCTCGGTAACCGGCACATCTGGCTGACATGAAGCATAATTTGCCGACACTCGAGACAGTCGCAACGACAACCCCGCATGTACATACGTGCCACCAGAGTCAATTGGCATCACATGATGTACCATAGATATTTACGTTTCCATATGAGATTCTCTACTCTCCAGCTGTTTGACATTTTTATTTTCTCCTAGATATTTGTTGAATGAACATTCACAGAGTTTTGTAAGAGCGTACAATATAGCGGCCTAAGATTTATTTAAATATTTGCTAATAAGCGTATAGTATACGATACGATGTTAATATATCATACAGTGAGAAATTTATTTAGCAAGGGAGACCAATCAAGAGTAGATCTAAATCGCTGCACTTATGTAGCATTGTTTTAAACCGAATCTACAGACCAAGCAAACGAGCGCGGACAAAATGAATAATTCAATACTCACGTTGCTGTTCGCACTCGTCGATACAAGTTTATTCGTATTTATCCATGCTCATTTGCTCGGTCTGAAAGTCTAGCTTTATACTTCCGCATTCTTAAAATGACATTATTTTATTTGCTTTTCGTTTGAAATAAAAATATGATAAGGCAGGATTATGAGTCGGTTAAAGAAAAAAATCAGATAAAAGTTTTCAAGACAGAGAGAGGCTCCTCGATTTTCAGGGTAAAGAGAGGTTTTTTTTTGGCGGAAAAATTTTGTTTAAGCCCCGCGTTGCTCTGTATCATAAAATTTGTACGTTGCGGTATGAGTGAAAAATTTTTGTATAGGAATACATAATTTAGGAAACAAATTATTTTTAGTTAAATAATACGTCTCAATAGACGCGTGCATTTCAAGTTATTTATCTAAATTTTCAGTAGTTTAACGTCGGGTGATATCGCAACAGGTATATTAAATACAATATATAATATGTGTATGTATATAGCTTATACTCTAGTAATTGCTTTTGTCGGTGTAGTAATAGAAATGGATGTCGAGGACGCGGAAATTCGTGAGATATCACGGTGAACATTCCCAGGCGAGATACGTTGAGGACATGTAATTGTTTTCACGGGTATCGTCGCTTAGTGTAAACAAAACCTCCTTTCTACACTACTGTTTGCATTGTCAGGGAAACAACACCTCAAATCTCACCGTGAGACCTTGCGAAATTCCATGCTCTACAACTGATGACCACGTAAGCAGCATCTATTCTGCTATATTTCCAGAACATTTTCCAAAGTAGCAATTTGCGTTTAGTACTGATAAACATCGCAATGCAATAACTATTTTTTACAGAACTAGTACCATAAAAGATAACTGCACTGACTGAACACATTATACGTTAGTTATCTATATGTCTTTTAGATAGTCAATGAGAGAGAGAGAGAGAGAGTTAAATGTAAATTAATTTACAATCTATTTGCAAACGAACAGGAATATTTTATTCGCAACTTCTAAATGTTTTGTTATACTTATATAACAATAGACAGATCGAGTTATATAACGGATCCAAATGTTCTTTCTGCTAGTTCTGTTTTTTTAGTAACACTTTCTTGCTTTTATATGACATGAAATATGGAGCAAGAAACTCGGAAAACACCATTGAATGCTGCAGGAAGAATATCTGCAGAAGTCATTCGCGTAAAAATGAAGAATTGAACGTTAAATTTACTATCGAGAATTTACCAGATGCGACTTTTATATCTTGCATACAAAAATCATTGCTTATTAATCCAGTGTAGCATTAGCTCAAAGAACTAAAATCTCAAAGGAATTGATCGATTATTTATATAAAACGGTGTTAACTTTGGTGTTAAAAATACGGAGGAAATTTATTTCAAAGTATTACTTCAATGTATATATTATACGCTTTTATTGTAAATATATAAACTATCGTATAAAGTATTATCATGTAATATAAAACAGTAGTATATATAGCCATAAAGTAAAAGAATTTATTTGAGAATATTGCATAAAAATGAATTATTCGACATTTTAGATAATTGTGAAACTAATAAAAGATTGCCATAATAGTGTAGAATTAAATATAACCAATTAAAAAGCGTTTTACTTATATGTGCATGCAGGGCTGATATATGTTTTCTGATTAACATTTTGATATGTGTTATTATCGAGTATGCAATAATTTTGTAAATTAATACGCTTGTCCTTTAAATTTCATTCTCGGTGATAAAAAAATAAAGCTTGATCAGAGATTCAGTCTCACTTAATGATTCATGTGATTGTAGAATTCGCGTTTATTGAGTTATTATGAGATAATAATCTTCGGAATTAACAATTTATTTTATACACAAATTACTTTTCAATTGTTATAGAACTTGATAAATCATATTGGTTAGTAAATTTTTAAACATTCGCATAACGCAACTAAAGGTTGTGCACATAAAATTAAATAAAATTTTAAGAAAATAGCTTTACGTGTGCAAGCCCCATTTCTTTTTTTAATCTTTGTAAGTACAGCACGGAAAAGAAAGGTATGGCGCGAATAATGACGCAGTTCCTTTCACTCCGAATGCTTCCATTGTCCATGGTAGCAATGCCAGTGCCGTCCCAATTCATATCTCGCGGATACTTTTCTCGCGATTGACGGAACTCTATACAATACTGCACGTATTATTCGACAACTGAAAGCCAATTGCGCACTATTCTGCACCGCTGACATTCTTTATCCTATTCCCATCGTAGTATAAGCAGTGTTCGTAAATAAAAATAAAACGTCGACAGAATAATAGTTTTTCGAAGCGAAATTATAAAGATGAAAAATACTATATTTCCTTCGTAAGAGATATTCTACAATCGCTCTTTACGATATTTTTGTAATTCTGTCTTTCTGTATTCTGGATTTATTAATTTTAGATATTCTGGATATTAAGAGGCAGGAAATTGTTGAGATTATAATAGTTTTGAAGTTATAAATGATCACAATGTTGACTGAAGGTAGTGTGCGCAATTTGTTTAAGCCCATCACTACGCTTTCATGTTTTTGTCTTGTCTTTGAATAAGGTTTCAAATTATTGCAGAGGTATTCTTTAATTAATATTCAAAATATGCAATTATAATTTGTGTCACCCTACATATTAATAATGTAGAGCTAATTATAGATACTCTGTGTAGTTATCGTTGCATGAAATATGATAATTTCTTTTTTTACAAAAATTATGTCGCATATGTTTCCTTATTTCCTGCCTTATAAATTATATTGTGAATTTATTATCATATGCATTTGCATTTCATGTGTCCAAAGTTTTTTCTATTTTTATTTCATGTTATTTATCTATTTCCCCATAGTTGTTACAAGATAAGTATAATATCTTGTAACTAACAACTTTGTGGGTCTGACATTTATTTGCTTTTCCTCTTGGAACACGCGTTAAATCTCGCGTTTTGCAAGTAAAACCACTTAAAAATTGCACGTTTATATGAGATTTGTGGTATTTCGTATGCGACTAGTGAAAATATAATGTGTTCATGGAACATAAATTCTGTTGTTTCTCTAAAATATTTCTTTCTCTGAAAATAACCATTTTTTTAAAGACAAGAATTAATAATAAACGCACTCTTTCTTTACCAAATATACATCCTACATAATATAAATTAATTTCCTATCTTTTTGTTTATATGATTTTCTAAATTAAGAAGATATATTTGAAATTAACGATAACAAATCATTTCGTAACGCGCAAAGAAAAATTTATTCATAAGGAGGTAAAAAGCACACGTTTAAACTGGATTACTTGATAGATGTCAAGACAAACTGCTCTTATTTTCAGTTTTACCGAATGTTAGGCCTTTTTTTATTTTCTGCAAGATATTCCGAAATCTAATAGTTTTCTCTTACTTTTCGGGGCACGTTAGTACTGTATATAGCAAGTAATTTCCAAGCATGTATATATGCGATGGCTATTAAGAGGAAAGAAAATTGCTTTCTGTAGACTTGTGCGACATAAATGTAGACGCGAAAAAAGAAACAGATCGATAATGCGAAGGGAGAATTTGCTGCGTCGTAATTATTTCGTGAGTAAATTTAGCGGTCGGTTTCTCTTTGACGTACTAATGCTGTCGGAAATTGATTCAAGAAAAAGAAAGAAGGAAATCAATCATACAGAAAAAAAGGGGATAATAATAGTTACTTACAATTCTTCGAGTAGTTATTCAACAATATTTACGATATATGCTGAGTATATTAAATATTATGCACATATAGAAAAGAGAATAATTTTATATTATATAAACCATATACATACTTTTAAAAAGTTTCGTATTCATTTCCCCATTAAACATTTCTAGCATATTACAGTTCCTTAATATGTTAAACGGATCTTTATAGATTCTCGTAAAAAGAAACTTTTCGCGAGAAGTGTCAAAATTTCTCGATCGACATTTCCGTACCGTACTAGTAATACAATACAGAAATGGCCCATTTTACTTTATGTTCCGGTCGAAATCTGAAGGAATCGTGGTAAAATAATTTACTAGTCACTCTCCAGTCCAGCTTAAACGAATGTTTTGCTGCCGTAAAAATTTTTAGAAGAGCGCTTAAAGTGTAGTCGCGCTGAAATCACGCGGTTCTTTTTAATTAGTCGCAAAGTTGGTCGTCGACACGAGTATCCTTGATTCGAATTTCTGAAAGTTCCACAAGTTGTGCTAAAGGGATTCGTAATTGCATACATGTTTGTTGATGAAAAAAGGGAATGTTGGTTCTCGGGGCGCGTTTGACTCTCCGTGGTGGCACGTTTACCTTAGGGTTGAGGTCGCTGCCCTGTTGCATAAGTGTGCCGACCGTAAACCAAAAACTGTTGGCCAGGCTGAACTCGTTGACAGTTCTCAGTAGAGGAATGTCGTCGCTGTCCGGATCCAAGGCGCTCATGTGACTGCCCTGATGACAATGCGATGACCCCCCGTCGAGTGGTGCAGTTTTAGAAATAATTACACTAGTTGTACTTAACTTACAGCTTTCTACATATTACATACTTTTTATATATTATTCTAGACTATACATACGTTGGTCGTTTTATAAAAGAAAATGCAGATGCGAAATAATTCCGAATTGTTTAGTTTACGTAAATAGCACTTTTTTTTTTAAAACAAAAATTTTTTTGCATAAAGTGTATCTATTCTCTTACGTTATCAGCGTAGAATGCATTGAAGGATGCGTTGTTGCATATAGATATATTAATTAATCGTCCCTCATTCGTTTAATACTTATATTTTATAAGTATTAAATTAATATCTTAAAAGTTTAATACTTATATCTTATAAGTATAAGGTTCGTTACAAAATTATTAAATATCACGAAACACTTATAGAACGATAGCTTTTAAATTAATTACTCGAGGATGTTAGAAAATATGAATTTAATTATTTTATCTTTATGTTAGATTATAGTTAAAGTATAGAGTCATAATATTTAAAAGAATACTCTGTGCCTTGTATAGTTTAGATATAATCGATCGATCGATTTTTCGCACCACTCGACGTGAGCCTACCTGCAAAGGGCATTTGCAGCTTGGACAGGGGGACGGCTCCACCCACTCGTAGGGTGAGAATCTTGCCACTATCCATATTGTTAAGGAAACCACCACGTAAGCGCCTAGCAAGGACAACCAGATCTCCACGGCGAGGGGATTCATGAACGAGAAGAGCCGCGGTGGCGTGCGTTTGGTTACCTGAAGCATTGACGTTTATTATTACTAATCTTCGAGAATTGACTTGGCCGACCTGATTCGACATCGAATCGACGAGATTACGATGTAATTTCGAACAAGTGCAACGATGCGCCCGTTCATGTCCAACGATACACGTCGTGTTCCTTGCTGAAAAATAATTCAAAGTTCGCGAATCGCTTGCAACTTTCGCGCCGCTTTCTTGCACAATATCCAGTCTCCCAAATGGCTCGAAAGACTATTCTTTATTTCGACGGAATTACGGGAACGTATTATTCTCCGGCGCGTCGAGCAGAACACAATAGCGGTGCACTCTGAGTGCAATCGCTGTACGTGCTGCTTTATTTTTTAACGGGAGATCGCTAACGCCGTAGGAGGTAATCGAGATTGGATTTTAAGACGCACAATCCATTGCCGCGATAAAAAAGCAAACAATTGTAAATGATCTACTTAAAAAATTTAAACGTCTATAATCTATTTACAAACAAGATCCTCTTCCTTCAGTCATCAATGCAAATGAGAATAATGCATTATGAGCTTTAGTTTCAAGAATGAAGTGGTGAGCGCGATGAACGATTTGCGCGAGAAAAGTCCTCTAAAAAAGATCTCAGAATATTATCACAACAATATCGCTTCAAGATTTGCTCGATCGTTTCGCTCGCAGCTTTAGTGAGCATCCCTGTAATATTGCAAATATATGATTCGCAACATAAACAGATATAAACGAATTGACGTGCACCCTGCAAACAGACATCTACTGTTTGCACTCCAGCGAGATGATGGATTTATGTGCGTGCTGCCTCGTGAACGGGTTCCGTACAACGTTCGAGAGCGGCAAACGTGAGAGAAACTGGCGGGCATGTCGGATGAGGGATGTCCCGACGGCGAACGGTGCGGTCGGTGAGTACGCGAAGGAAAACGGTAGAAGTAGTCCAATGGTGGAGCACCTCGTTGAGTGTACCTTAGGGTTGAGCCCGCTGCCCTGCCTGAGGAAGGTGCCGGTGATGAACCAGAAACTGTTGCTGACGGTAAACTGGTTCTCGACCACGTCGCTCTCGGCCAGACACGGATGCGGATTGTTCCACTCGTACGGGCTGAAGCGCGCCATCACGAAAAGGGTGAAGCTCACGAGCATGTAGGCGGCGAGCACGTAGAGCCAGATCTCGACCGCCAGCGGATTCATGAAGGAGAAAAGCCGTGTCGGCTGACTGGACGGCACCTAAATTACGTCACGCTACGATTTTAATTAAAACGGATCCCGTTTCGTGGTGCGACGCGACGCGACGTGGTCACAGCGCGGCACGACGTTGCAGGCCGACACGAGTCAACCTTCACGGTGATCCTGGGCATTCAAAGACTCTTCGCGAATATTCGAATGAAGAAAGAGAATTCGCGGGACGCGCGATGCAGATTATTTGACCAATTCATTTGTTCTTCTCTCATTTAATTCAACGAATTGAAATAACGTTGAATTGCATCTTCTGTATATTAATATTAACGTAGAATAATTAAAGCATCTATTTACGTTCTTCATTATTCAATAGGCTATAATGACATGCTCGTATGAAAATCACTTTTGTTAATTTATGTTAATGCAATGCATAAACTGAAATATAATAACAAAATTAAATATTAGAGACATGAACACATATCTACACTTTGAAAGGTATAGACGTTGATCATCATGTCGCATGCATATGTAATTCAGAAAACTTAACAGCTGATGCACGGTGTTAACTCACCTTAAATAAGATTCCAATTCCGAGATTCATAAACGGCTTGGTGAAATCTATTACGCTTTCCCTAGCATAATTAATCGTCATGGAGGCAACCGCCAGATCTGCCCTCTGAAAGAATTACAGTATCCCAGAGAATTAAGAAAATTCAATTTCCTCGATAAAATCAAAGTCGCATAAAAACAGAGATGCTTATGACATCACAGGAAACAATAAGAATTAATATCGCACAAAGAGCTTTCATTAAAAAGGATATCTAAATCGTTCGTTTCGTAGAATGGCTTTCTCTTTGACAGATAAATATAGCCAAGACATATCGTCGAACGTTTCTACCGAGCAAAATGTACTTCTTAATTCATAGATGTATTATGAATGAGAGCATTTCAAATTGCTGATAAATCTTCGGTCTATATTTACCTTGTGAAATAGTGAGTGAATTCTTTATGAACGTGCGAGCAACGCGAACTATGAAACATCATTCGTGTCATCTTCCGTTTTGGAATATCCGCCTACGGTTTCGTAGGTTTCCAGGTTAAGGCGTCATCCCTTTTCACAAGAGGCAGATTGCTTTGCATGTTTTATAAACTGCTGATCTTCGGTATTCAGAGAGTACGCCGGGAAAACGAGTTGCGAATTTTGCGAGGCGCACGTTTTCTTTTTTCGATGCTCTTTGCATCTCTTTCAAATTAACACGAGTTGCGCAATAAATTTTCGATAATTCAAGCAAGCAACTGTGGTTTGTCCACATATATTTTTTGTATTATTATTAGTTTTTGAAAAAGCTTAATTAATATTAAATTATTCTTTTTCTTCCTCTGTCGATCTTTCTTTCTTGGACAACATTGTAAGGTCTTAATCGCGATGCAAATAACAAAAGCTTTTTGTTGTTAAAAAATATTTAATATATTAAAGTATATTTTTATTGCTGTATGCCATACATGTTTTACATAATAGAATGTTGCAATGACAAAATATATAGATATGTTTATAAAAAGGCTAAGTGATATATGTACAATATATCACAACCGTTGAAGATGGTCATACAATTCGAAAGCAATCCCGTAAATGTATGTGTACCAACATTATGAGTAACAAATATTTGAATTATTTATCGAATGAAAGCAAGGTATTATCTCGAACAGAGAGGCGCATGTTATATATATGATAAAATTAATTTAACGAACCACATATGCGCAACAATCGCACACGTGTATCAAATAATCTTGCGTACGAAAAATAATGTGCTTTGGGAAATGGCTGAATATCTGTATTATTAACTACATCCATTTATTCCGTCCATGAATAAAATATTGTAAAAATTAATTTTTCATCTAACCGTTAATTTATTTTTAGTACGAGTATAATATCGCACACACAATGTGCACACTATCTACCGACGCTTGAATCTTACTATTGTAAAAAATTATCAATATTTTCTGAACCACAAATCCGAATCCGGATTTATTCTTACGATAACAATATTTTTGCGTAACAACTGTATGCACAAATTTTTCACGAATAATATGCAATTCCATTTTTAAATACGCGTACTTCCATTTCTTCGTATACCGCGCTCTTGCATTTTTATCTTGTTTCGGTGATGAAATTTCAAATCCAATAAAGACTCTTTTTAGAAATTTCCGCTTCCCAAAGCATTAACGTTTGCTGATAATGTTTTTTATTTTTCGTTGAAGATTTGTACGTGTGCGAGCATGTATTCTCTCCCTGTTGGTACTGGCTACATATATGTAGATGCGATCGCGAGGAAACAGTGCGAATGGAGAACTATTTCTCCTCGGTAACGAAAAGACAACATTTACCTTTCTCTGGATATATACAAGCGCAAAAAAGTCAGAATTATAATCAAAAGCCGAAGAAAAATTATTGACGTAAAAGCATCGAAATCCTCCATTCTAACATTTTTTCTTTTAATAGATTGTTAATATATTTTAATAGATTTGTTAATAGATGTTTTTGTTCAAAAAGAGGAGGACAGGAATAAACAACAAATAAATCAGTCCGGCAGAAGAAATCACTAAAGTAGTGATTACAAATTTTATTTCCACATGTATCGTATAATAATCAAGGAATAAGTGTTGCGTAAATTGTGATATATATAGTTATATTTTCTGGAGCAAAAGTTTATAGTAAATTTTTTATCATGAAAACTCTATTATTAAATAATGACGTAAAGCTAGCAATCTTTTATAAGTACAAATATCTGTGCCCTGTACTGAAAATTTAGTTTCAAACTTGCATTACTGGCATTTCCATTTCATTGTCCCAATGGGGTTGTTCGAATGAAGTTTAATCATATAATGGATGTAAAACAGTTCTGTTGACTTAAATACTTTTTGACTGACTAAAAATAAAACGTGTATAATTATTGAAATGATGATCGTTAATTTGATTGCACACATCGCATGTTTCAATTTAATAATTGTGACATTGCAACAATTAACTAAATCTCAATTCGTTGTGGAAATTATGCGAACAATACGTGTGCGCTACTCGATCATGCAGACAATAATGGATCGTCGGTTTACATTAAATTCGAAAGACGCTCGGAAGCGCATATATCAAACTTTGATTTTAATAACTGCACAATTTTACAATTCAAATGACAGGAAGCAACATCTGCGAGCTGATCTATGAATCGAAATATCAAATACCGTTGTTCGGCTATGGGAAAAATGGTTAATCCAGGTAATTCTTGTATCCGACTACAGGCGTAATGAAATTCCTCGTGGGATGGATTTATTGCGACACGCCCGCGGAAATTTACTTTGCTTTGCATATAAAATCGGCCTCTTGGGTCGCGTATACCCATTCTCCTACCTCGATATTTCTCCTAATATACTACGCTTCTGTAATTTTAACAACACTATTAACACATTGCGGTCGACATTAAATTTGGTTAAAAAAAATGCAATGTTAATGTTTGCCGTCATTTTCATTAACTCAACTATCGATTTTCATCATTCAGAATACGCTACAATAAATTTGGAAAGTGAACATCACCGGCTATATATCCAATTATTCGTTGTTTCTAGTGTTTAAAAAATTTCGTGAAGAATCACAAGAAGCTATTTTACATCTGCATTAATGTATAAATGCAATTATTTAATTAACCGCGTATATACCGAGTGATTTTATCTCACGCTAATCATCAAATCCTTTTCTGATTCACACAACGCAACGCAACACTTGTAAACCTTATCTCATTTTATATCAATACCAAATTACTTATGTCTCATACATCAGTTATCGTCTTGTTATACGTTTATATCATTTTCTATGATATTGAATCATATCGCAAGTTGTTGCGAGAAAGAGAAACAGGTTCTGTGCATAATGTCTTACCTTGTCCATGAGTTCACGCACGATTCCATTCCATTCTTTCGTCTCGGGGTCGTACACCCCGTACATGTGATCGGGCACCAATTTGATTGCGTATTGGAAACCGACTTGGCCAGCGATCCACTTGAGCAAATCGATGCAGAATCCCTCGAATCTCGCGTTACCAGTCAAATTCTTGTCTTCTTTCACCATGACGTAGGGTCTTTCCTGTGGAAGATTGGAACCCACTGATAAATCGTGGAATTGTGCTCATAGTGACAGGGGTAGGGCAGAAGCAAACCCTTAAAAGTTCTTATTTCCACATGAGATGGCTATATCAAAGGAAAAAGGGTGGGAAAGAAGCCGCCATTCAATGTGAATATATAGCACTTTGATCGCTTGTCCCTCAAACATTTCCTTTTCCCGACACTACCATGAATTTTTCATTTTTCTCAGAATACACAATAACGCCGATAAAACGTTCCCTCGGCCAACTAAGATTTTCCCTTGATATATGACAATCCGCGATTTCCTTAGCTTAAAAACCCCGTAAAGTCCTGCCTCTAAATTGTTTTTATTTTCGCGAAAAATAAAATATTGCGAAAGATAAAGTAATATTGAATTCAATTACAATTTTTTTCATGTTTTAAATGTATCGTAAAAGATAGGAATAATAAAGATTCCTCTAATGTCTATTATTTATTATATACAATTATTTTTCAAATTAATATGAGAATACCAAATATTTTTAAACACTTTTGTAAATTATTTCAATGAAAATTGTTGTATATTTATAAATATACAATATGTTGAAGTTGTTATCTGGACTAGCTATGTGGACACTTCATCTCTATGCAACATAACAAACTTACCCGACTCCATTTAGAGCAGCTTTCATATCACTATGTGATCCATACTCGTGCAGTATCCCGCTTAATGATTAATTCTAACGCTACGAGGGTCGCAAACGTGACTAAATTGAATATAAGGTATCATTACCTCTCTCGTCATCACCACGAGCGTAATGTTGGTCGTCGTGGTCTCGTAAAAGGCGTCTAGGTCCGTGACGTTAATGCCAGACCCGGATTTCCATTCGCCGACTTTAACGAGCTCCTCTTTTTTCAGTTTCAGGAGGTCCAGCTTGAAATTATTTCTCTTTCCTTCATTGAATTCAATAGGTCCGGTTAGTCCGTGTAAGCCTGCCTGCAACAGAAACACTCGTATAAGTCTAAATCTGAATCGTTTAAATTTTAGCCTTTCGTGATATATTATATAACAAATTAATGACGACATGCCTCTCATTTTACGTATTACAAATTTTATCAGTGATTGTTGATATTGCACGAGTAATATTTAAGCTTCTATAGAGCGAGAGTATAGTGCAGTTAAGCTTTTGTTTTCATGAAAATGTATGTAGTTTAGCCATATAATTCTTCGAAGCTTTATATCTCTACCATTTAAATATAGGCTGGATGTCAGAAAAATTGCGCTTTTATGTAAATAAGTAGTGGTCTCTCATGAAGAGATAACAATAAGTAGTATCCAATATTTCGCGACTGGATATTGCCATCCAAACTGACGCTAGCTAAAACGCGAAGATTGAAAAGTAATAAAATTTTTACATGAAACATCATACTTGTAACTGTTTTAACAACAAACACGACCGGATTTACCGTTCGTTAAATCATGCGCGCGTCTGATTCTCGTTAAATTTATTTTTCCTCCGTGTCCAGTAGTTCACGGACACGCACACACGTGCACACGATTCATTGCTGACGGCCTACATTTCCGGATGCATACAGCCGGCGAAATTTTTCGCATTAATTACCGTTTGCGGTCTACCGGCGGTTTGCGCGTAGTTTATTTGATTTACATCTCTTCCTCTTTAGTATACGTCCGAGTTGCGAGGTTGATGGAATATTCATTCAAAATGTGCTTCTTCTTAAACTCGACCGTTTATCCTACCAGAACAAATCTTATCTATTGAGTCCAAATTTTTATTTAAATATTTTTATTATCTTGTTGATTAGATTATTAACAGGTTTCTCAATGGCTCACTGTTTACTCAACCAAACATCATTAGTCGTGTTTAAAACATTTTTTGAATGCTATAGCCAGTCTGATATATGCTTGGTCATATCACTTTTTAGATACATCTCGTGTTTTATTCCACTTGTAATCTGAATTTAATCGCGGATGATAGCTGTGCGGAATGCGAGTGAGGTTATTACGCGAAAAAGATAATATAATCGATATCTCATTTACAATGACAAAATTCAGCTCAATTTGGTTGGATTTTTACGCGAATATCTCGTTTGTATATTGCTCAATCCATTGTACAATAAGAGTAAAGTCCAATTTAAAGGTAAATAATTGAATTGTTGTATACAGGTTTTTATATCTTTCTGAAAAAAAACCTCACATCACTGAAAAAAATTTCTGGTTGAATATGGAAAGGAATTCTGGTAAATCCTAAAGGAATTATCTGATTCGTCCATATTCAACCAGAAATGTTTTTCAGTGCAGATATAAATGATATAAAATTGAAAATGTACTTTATTATTGAATGTGTAATGAACCAATGCATACAGATAAAGGGCATTAAAAAATGTTAATAAATATTTCTATCTTTTTATAGTATGTAGTTTTATTATTAACGATTCCAAAAAATTACTTTAGCTGTGAAGAATTATTATATTATATTATTTCAATCATCTCATAGTAATGAAAAGTTTAATTAAAACGGATTACAAAGTATTGCGAATTTATAAGTTAACATGATTTGGCAAAGGCCGGCGTACAGGGGTACGATAGATTTTGGTTCGTCCGCGTTATCTCCAACGTATTTTTATAATCTTTATGATCCCATGAAATGTATTGTCAAATTATTTCGAAAAAGAAATCGTCTTCCATCAATCTGACAGCCGGCGCGAGATTTTTAGCAGTGATTCTACGGCCAGGATTTTGTTCGGGCTGTCAGCAGCGGTATTGCGGATCGTACGCGAATCGATAAATCTCCGCCACGATATCTCGTCAGCGCCAACATCGACGAGCCGGTTCGCAAAATCAAAAATACGCCGATGCTCGCAAAACAAATGGTAAGCGCGCCGGAAGTAACCGGGCACGGCGATGCACTGTGCCGCATGTATTTTCGGTACTCGACGTGCTCTCGCTCGACGAATACGCACGTTAATTATACTATGCACGCGTCGATGCATCACGTGTGTAACACCATTACATGTGCGTGCATTTTACACAACGGAATACGCAGCTCAGGATATTTTGCGGAAGCACGTCGCGATGTACGAATATAGCTTAAAAAAACGGTGAAAAATGTGATGTAATCGCTTATGAAGGAGTGATATGGAATTGCTCATTGTTGAATATATTTTCTATTTCCGTTTTGTTTTTAACACAAAATATTTTTTAATCAATTACATAGAAATATAAAAGTTATTTCTACAGTAAAATATGGAGAACATTAAGTTTAATCCGAAATAATATAACATGTAGAAAGCATATATTTACGTATACTTAATATACAATATTTTGAAGTTTTATATGTTGATTTATATGTTTTCTACTATTTGTATTTATACGAAATTTTGGTATATTTTCTAATTTTAACGAATGCGAGATTAGTGTCGTTGTCTGGAATTTTTCATATTTCGTAATATCACTTTTTTCATCTTAAGTAATGTATGCTGTTTTAATATTTAACAATTTATACTGTTGTACAAACTTAAATCTCCAAGCGTTTTTTGGCAACTGTTTTAATTTTTTCCAAAGAATTAAATACCAGAGATCGTGACAAATGAAAAATTTTTCGCGAAGGATTAATTATGCAATACTTTGCAAATCAGAATTTCTTATCGCCACGTTTGCCTTATATTTGGTCAAAGTCGCAGTATTTTTCTGTCGTATAATGTTATATTTATCTACTGCCTGGCATTTTTCGCCTACTTGCATTTATGTGTATACACGATTATGGTGCATTGTGTCCCATCTTCAACGAACACAAATCCACTTGCTAACGTTCAGTAACAGAATTGCGTAGTTTGTGTGTCTGCTTATCAAGTTGATATCGAAGGTACATTCCAAATAAGGTACCGTTATCACTGTGATACATTTAGATAAGGAGCGTATATTTCATTTTCGTACGCGTAATATTAAATACGCGCAGTAAACTCGATTATTAATTGAAATTTTATTGTCAGAGTATTGAAGTTTTATAAATCATTTTAGTCTCTAGAATAAATAGTCCAGAGTGCGGATTTTACATAATTTGTAATTTGTAATAATCAATTCAGCACTTTTATATGCATTTAAATCAGCAAGTAAAGTAAATTTGAATAGAAATTAAATTAAAATGTACACAGAATTGAATTGCAGTTGTGAGTTGTATGACAATTATTAAATAATTTAAATTGTATTTGATAACATACGTAGGTTGATAATTTTAATTTGAAACAGACTAAAAGCCACGCCACATTATCTGTAATACAATACATTCAAGAAAATTGTTTTTCAAATATAACGTTTTAGGACGACAAATGAATAAAACTTCCAATTTATGATACTAGAACAACACAAACGCGCGCTTCGCGCGCGCCATTGTTCTTCCACATTATATTACATAAACTGTCAAAATAACCCTCTTAAATATAAACTGTCGAAACCGCGAGTCGAAGAGAACGACTCGAACAAGATCGACACTCGATCGAGTTTCGAGAGAGTCAATCGGCATCGCGGAAAAGCGACAACAATGAACTCGCAATGCCTTTTTTAGATAGGGATTTGGTTGCATATACATTATTTTAACTTAATGTTTTATATTTTATATGTTTCAGCAAATACATTTTGTATGTTTTATAAATGGCTGGTTAATTATTTTATACACTTTGGATCAATCAGTTGTTTCTTACTCACACGCATTTACCTTACCCGAGTTCTCTGTGTGTCTTACACATATGTTTCTACACCTTTAGAGTGTTGAAGTGTACCTAGATAGACAAAGCCGCAAAAACCGCCTATACTTGCCAGGGTGCATTAATCTTGCCGCTTTTGCAGCGAGGTTTAGCTTTCAGTACCCAGCTCGGGTTGCTTAAGTGGTGTAAGATTTGCAAAGGTTTCTATAGGTTGCAAAGCATAAACTATATACTATGAACATGTGTAAAATTTGTAGAACAATTAATATCGTACACATTAACACGTTTTACGAGGAAAAATGGCGTTGCATTACAGTTATGCGATATAATAAAAATGTATATTGCATGAGAAACAATTGCTTAGTGACAAATAGTGTAGATTGACAAGTTAATTTTTTGTAATAAAATTACTAAGTGGTTTCCTGCTTAATTCAAATACTATGATGGTAATACTGGCTTAAAATGTTAAGCTGACCATTATCCTCCTAACGTTATGTAGAAATACATGCACATTGGTAATTTACCGGATTGCTCATTTATTTACACATTTATTCACAGAACGGCAGAAACGGCGGACACGATTATTCCGTTAATAGGATATGATCACGTCGGAAGCTGCCAGTTTCTCGTCGCGCAGGATTTAAATGCATACGCGGAGCGCAACCGCGATAGTGTACTCGCGCGCGGTTTACTATCTCCTCGCGACACGCTATTTATTTCGGATTTAACATGAAAGGAACGTCGATAACGGTACGATGACGTTTCGAAAAGTACCACAACCACGAGACGAGAGAGCGTTGATATTTACGAACGAGTGGATACTACGTGAAAGGAATGGAGCAAGCACACAGACTTTATCGGGAACTTTCATAATTTCTGTGGCGAAGTTCCTTTTCTTTTTTTCTATCTTTTTTCTCCTATTTAGAACTACGAACATTTCTTTATTGCCTGATAACGTTGTACGATTTAAACGAAACGCAGTGCATCCAGATAATGAAAAGATTGTCTCGCAGAGTGAAACAATGCTTAAGAAACATCTTGTGTACCGCCATATATCACATTTTCTTTTCCAACAATTGTCGATCAAGTACTACTAAAAACTCATGACCGTGCGGCGCGGAAGTTTTGAAAAATTGTCACGATTCTCATCGGCATTGTCTTCTTTCATTTTCGCACGTCTTCGATTATTCCGGGGATCTGAACTTTCCTACGAACTTCCAATTTCCTTTGCCGTTGCAAAAAAAAAAATTTTTATAATACCACTGAGTGGGAAACCTTGCAGAAATAATTTTCAGGAAGTTGTCATTATGTAAATTCATAATTTCCTATCCACCAAACGATGTGTCGTAACGCTTTCCGTTTCAATGTCATAACTTTTTTGTATTTAACACTGCGAGTTTAATATATCGAATTTAAAGTGTCGTTTGTAATACACTACGAAAGATGTCAGATTAAAAAGGAAAATTAAGAAATTCTTATGAAAGATTATTTAAAGCTCATCATTGTGATTTCATTAGTTATGACCGTGTTAATTTAATTATTTTAGGTAATAAAATTAAATATTGGCTAATAATACTAATGAAAATGCTTCCGGAGTTTATTGCGTCTCCCCATCAAAATGTCACGGTTACGCTATGTACTCTGCACTCAAGTTAATGCTGTGTACGTGAAACGCATAATTGCATAAACAGATAGCTGTGCAAGAGGTATCGGTCTCTTTGAAAATAATTTCCCAATATGACAGAGATATAAATTTTATTCATCGGAATATTTTTTAATAAGAAATTTATAATTCTGTTTAGACTATTATGCAATATATAATCGTGTATATATAATATATTGTATATATATTTTTTAACTACAAAGATTTCTACATTATAAATATAAAATTTATTTTAGTTTTAATGAAGGAACTAATCACATTACACGTCAATATTGGAAAAAATTACATTTGCACTTCTATGGCTTGGTATAACAATTTTGTATAGATTTTTTAATAAAAGCAACGCGAACAATATGGAGGAAAACCAGCGCTTTAATTCCGCTTTAGTTTAACTCGGCAAACAATCTTTATTTACTTTTAACAGAACGAAGAGTAGCCTTAAACCCTGCATTATGATCAAAACACGACTTCCGCCTTGCCTCAACAAACACTCCAACATAAAAGTTCAAGGGTTCTCTCTTGTGAGGAATTAAAACATCTGTATTTTATAATATCCCAATTTGCGAATTTCAAATAAGTCTCTGTAAATATAAAGAGATTTCTTTGTCCAGACTGTTTCATCTGCGGATAATAATATGTACAGAGAACTCAAGGATTTCGTGGGTAATAAAAAAATATTTGGATCCAAAATTTTAAGCTCCGCTTAATTCGTCATTGTCGCATGTCTAATAGAGAAGCCTTATGTCGGTTGCACCCAAGCAATAAAACTTGGTCCTCTACATGTGGGATCTAAGTCATGGATGGCACGTACGTGCAAGTTTACGTACGTGTCTCTCGTATGACGCGGTCGTGCATTTGGGATGGTCGCCGTGCATGGAAAGCGCGACCATGGTGGCTAAAGGAGGAGAAAGCCCCGAGGTGAGGTTTCCGGGATGTAGCTATTTGCTAAATACGTTGTTCAATTATTCATGTGTCAACGTTGCTTTCCTTCCGTTGCCTTCTACACGTTTGCGGCTTATCGCCGGACGACTACCAATCTCTGCGAGCCAACGAAGAGTGGCTCTCGATCCTCAAGATGGTAGTAATTTTTTACTAAGTTTTCTTTGTCTTGGAATCATAACTGCCCACGAGATCGTAATAAAAGATGTGCAACATCTCTATGTGTACATTATAATTCCATTACAATCATTCCATGATCAAGATAATATTTTATTCGTAAATTACGAGAGAGATTAGTATTTTTTTATTAATGTAAATATTTCGTTTTGTTCTGCATTTTACTTTTTAATTATGATAAATTTTTATCATTTACAAACAATCGTGGAATTTTAGAAGAGACCGAAGAGGAGGAAACGAGATATAAGCGAATTCTTTAAGCTGAATATAAGTAGAATTTAAATTACTTTAGAGCGTTAAGTCACGTTCAGTCAATCAATCTGTGATACAGAAAGAAAGATGCTAATAGTTAACGAAGCTCTTGAAAGAAAATTAACGTGTCAATATACCTTATAGATTCGTTCTTTTATCAATGTTAATTATAAATCTGTGAGACAATGAAATTGAACAAAAAGTCTAATTAAATCGATAAGTGTTAACAAATTTAACAAATAATTAAGTTAAATTATATAATTATTTTTTACTTCCAAGATATAATTATTGATTTCTTTTATATTCAATATTTTTGTTGGTAATAAAATCACTATGAAATTAGATGATTTCTTGCACTATCCTCTACATTTTGGAAAGGATAAATATTTCTCTTGCGTAAAACAATACAGATTTTAAACCTGTAACACATGTTTTCGTTTAATTACTCTAGTCGTGCTATATATGTGTATATTATATTGAACAATGTAAAAGTAATAATAGATTTTCTCTTTGATAAAGTAAAATTTGATATTGCAATTATATAAATGATTTTAGTAAAAGAAGGCAGAGTTTCATTAAACATTTGTTATTTTCGGATTAAAATTAAATAGCAAAGAATTTTTTATTGAATGATTTAGGATTATTCCGAATTTAATTGCAAAAATATATGAAAATTGCAATATTGTTTATAACTGAATTTCAGAATTGAGTTTATTTTTCGTTGTTTTAGTTGCAAATTACTAACATTAAAAATTATATAACCAAAATTTGCATGACCTAATTGTTAGTTGGTTGTTACGTTATAAATTTTGATGATTTGATTTTAGAAAATCTGTGCTTTCTTTTATAATAAAATTTTTAGATAATATTTATTGGACTGAATTATATTTTTAAAATGAAATTATAAAATATGTTCTCAATTTTTCTGTAAATTGAAGATATTAACTGCAACCAATATAGTATAGGAAATATACTTCAATTATTAAGTGAAGCAGACCAGAAATTTCCACTACTTAGAAATATAAATTTCTTGTACCTGCAGTAAGTGTTAAGTATTTTACTGCAGTTTTTCATGCTTTACTAAAGAAGAGAAGACGAAATATTATTCTGAGATAATTGCGTACGAAAACTCGCGTCACTGGCATTAGTTGTCCCATTCCGCTCAACGGCTCGCTTGAAAATTCACAAAACGTACGTACGGCATTAATATAGTTGTAGAGTGATAAACCGTCGTCCCACGGTTCCTCTTTCTCGCAGGACAGATTTGCTGGTCTTAAATCGTGACTACGGTCCAGAGCTGCCAAACCGTGCGCGAAAACCTGTACGCTATCGTACACCAAAGCTGGTTCTGCCTGAAACATACGTTTCCTTTTGACGAGAGTTCGTGCTTTGCGTATTGCAAAAAAGTTTTAATTTGGAATTTAATTTGGATTTTTAGCTTTAATTTGGAAAGAATTGTTACATGGACAAAAGTTTTGCCACTACTAATGTAAATATGGATCGGGCTAAGTTGTGATTAAATTTCACGAGAGTAGTTTTCAATCTTTTTCGTAGCTTAATGATCGACCGAATGATTATTATTCATACTTAGCAATCATACCAAAAGTTTCTGTTTCATTTTACAGTCAAAGTTCTTTAAGATAGAATATATTAAATCTTATTATAAAACATTGATCTTACTTAAAATCACTTACGAAAATTTGCTTCTTAGAATTTAAAATTATAAATCGATACATCAGCTTAAGAATTCTTGAAATTGTGCTTCTCTCCTGTTTATTAAATATTCAATTCAATTAAAAATTTAATAAGATTTCGAGGTAGTGAGAAAAAACTAACGAAGGAACGAAAATTCAATTACCTCGATCTTCTCACATTAATATTTTGAGGAGATAATTCTGGGGAGTAAATTGTGTGAAGTAAACTTAGCTATTTCAGCAGATGGTGACCATCTTCAAAGTCCTTGAGAGAAAACCATGCTTAGTGCGCTCAATTGATCCGAATTAATGACATTGCGGCACTGGCCGTGGGCGAAACTCACTTAATTACTGAAGGGCTGACAAAGCTCGAACTGGACAGACTCTGCTGACCAGTTCGGTCCATTCGACTTTTTAATCCCCTCTGCTTTTAGTCTATATTTGTACGAAGCTTGTACTATTCACAATCAGATTCTATTTCGTAATCGCATGTAATTAATTGTTTATACTTTAGAAGTATCACACTCTTGATATTCTGTACGAGTCATTAAATCTTAAATCTGTAGACTGCGTATGTCAGATTTTATATGATTATTTTATATAATGCGTACTTTAATATATATTTTACACATATGTACAGTCTGGAATTTCAAATATTTTTCATATGACACATCAAATTATATATAAAATTCTATAATGAATTCTATTGTGAATTACAAGTTTTCTAAAATAACTTTTCTTATACATATACGAGTATGTGTAATTTACGTTAAACTTTAATAGCAAATTTTTTGACCGATCGTAATTCTATCTTTTTGAAAAATGAATCAAAGTATGGACATAATTTGACATTGCACAATATAATTTTCAAAGAGCAAAATGTACTTAGCAATATTGTAAGCAAAGTCAAAAGTTTAATGTATACTTTCTAACATCGAGATAAAAGCAAAGCATTTAATTTTTTGTTGAATCAAATTTAGAATCTCCACCAACCTGAATAACTCCCGTTTTGTTCAGAATAGCATGTCCAATCGCGGGTTGGAAACGTTCCATCTGCTTGAGTACTTCAGCAACCTTGGGCTCTTCGAGATCCACCAAGCGAAAGGCTGTCATGTTCACGCTATTATATTTGAAATCTTCTAGATCAAATGTTTCTATATCCTGTAAAACAAACGTACCAAAAAATTTGTTTACTTTAAATCCAATTTATAATCCACGACTAATCGAAATATACTATATTTCCAAATATGATATATTTAAAAAATAAATTTTTTACGTGTAACAAAATTCAACGAGATTAATTGTACTAAATATGAAAATCATTGACATATTTAGCTTAAATGTTAATCATTTGTATTAATTAACATATATCATCATATGTTGTAATAATATATCATACATACATCATTATTAACATAATTAACTTAAATGTTACAGTAACCATTTCTATTAATTAGGTTAAACGAGCGATAGATCTAACAATCAAGTTTCAATTTCAAGTACTTGACAACTGTAACAATTATTATTAATATTCTGAAAGAATCGTTGAAAAGGAATTTCCTGTTTAATCTAGGTCGACTTAGCCTCTGCAAATAGATAGGACTATCGATTTATTCATCTTTAAACGATAAGGAATTCGACCGCCTCGGACGTGATAGTATTTAAAAAAATGTAACTGGGGTAAGTTTTTTCTCGCTCGCGGCGTAGTTACGAGGTAAGCCGACTAAATTGAAGAAAAATGAGGCTGTTCTAGCCATTTCCGTCATCGTCGTAATTGCAATCGTTATAGCGCAACCAATCTCGGCCAGTCTTGCCTGGAAAGCTCCCGAGAGAGTATGATTTATAATTATACGGTGAGAGATGCATCGTTCTCGCGACGCAGATCGTTAAACTAAATAACGCGACTTCTCCACAGGGTCATTCACCGACAACTGCGCAGCTGCATAACAAAGTCGATCGTGGCAGATAAAGCTCCGTTTCCGTTCTTAAGCGATTTCTTCTTCCGTTCCTTTCGTTACCACTTACTGTTCTTTCCCTTAACATTCCACCGCGTTGCTTCACTACGTATCCAATTTATCCCTTTGAATCGCGCTAGCATCGTTTACCGCCGGAAGAAAGTTATGTAATGTCTTTTGACAATGATTTATTTGGAATTCGGGAATGTACATGTCTATCTGCTTCTTGTACAAGTCTAATACCGGAAAATTTGCATCCCAGGAGTGCGTTAAATTTTGTTAGGAGATCGCAAATATTTGCTCAATCAATTATTGGATCATGTACGTATATATACTCGTATATAATAAAGCATATATTTGTTAATCTGATTAAATTTTAACCGGAATACTTTTAAAGAGCGTGCTTTAAAGTCAGCATGATTTTGGCGAGCGTAGATTTTGTTATTACAGGTATAAGATTGACATTATTACATCTTTACATATTATCACTGCTCTATCACTGTTATAGCCCTATTACTTCGAGCTGAAGAGTGAGGCAAGAGTTCCGCCACGTCTTGAGAAGTAAATAAAGTAGTATATGCGCATCAGTCTGTCAGTGACACAGGTGTGTCACTCTTCAGCTCGAAGGTAGCAGTCTAGTATAATAATACGAGTATATAAAAGTCTGTGATTACAAGGCATCGTTATACTTCCGTAAAGCTTTATTTACAGAAAAAGTGCCCGTAATTATAATGGGTCCGAGTAACTCGTTCATAAATTAGTATCGTACTGCATAACTTTCTCAGAATAATTAATTCTACGATATCGATATATAAGTAGATATATCATCCTTGTTGCAGATTACTTAAGTTTCCGAGTACAAAGCAATCGCTAATCAATAACCGATTGCAAGATGAACTCTGCACATAACTCTACTGCTTCCGGATGCTATATTGTTCCATAGGTAGATGCATACCTATACACATATATACCTTTTCACATATATCTTGTGCTATTGCCTAATGGAATATAGTACAATCGATGTTTGATCAATGATAACGCGTTCCTGATATGAGTTTCCGTTCCATAATTATCTTGTTGCTCTAATATACGTTGATCTCGGACTAATAAACTATCTAAATGTCGGAATGTAACAATTGTGTCAAAACGTTTTGCAGGCATCGAAATGTTCTCTCGAATCTATTGTGTTACGAATTACCTCTTCGTTTCCAGTAATTATGGATTGATTGGAACAAATCTATCAAATCCAATATATTGCAGAAATCATTTCAAGATGTATATAACCGTCACAATCCGATAACGCGTATTATCGATTAATCTGGGCATATTTGTGGGAAAAATGGAGCAGCGAGATCTGATTCCGTGTACAGGTCTGTCGTTATGAGCCACAAAATTCGAAGAGCACATTTCCGGAGGACATGTCGCGCGCGTGCATGTATGCCTGTACGGAGTGCATGCGTACATGTGTGCGAGTGCGAATGTATCAAGCAAGAACGTATAGTTCCCTGTCCCTCAGCACACGGTCTGTAGCTTGCGTTTGCACGTCATAACTTCGGCTACGTTAGCCACGGGGTTTGTACGCGCCGTTAGCTCCATTTAAGATAGAAATTTCCGGCGAATGGGACGGTGGATTGGAATTCGGGTTGTGCTGCTCAAAAGGCGGGGTAGATGACGATATGTCAAAGTAGGGTGTGCCGAATGGGAAGAGAGAGAGAAACGCGTGGCGACACACGAGAGAACTTTCGATGACTACGTTAAGGGAATATCCGATACACTTTGCCTCCCTCACCCGTGGAGGTCTAATTCCTATCACCGTCTGTGTGCCAGAACCCATGAGGTAATACACATAATAAGCTGTGCACGGAGTGTACAAAGAGAAGCGGGGTCGGCCGGAGCGCGAGGTATGCCAGTTATGAAGATGATGAATGGTACACTGCAAAATAGAGGAGTCTCGTCTACAAGCATTCCCATACGCGTCTGAAAGAGACATTTCTTCTTATTTCTTAAACGAATATTACGCGATATTGCATACCCGACGAATGCCGAATGAAATAAATCCTCATTCACACTTGTCATTATTATCCATTTATGATCCAATGGAGTATTAACGATTTTCAGCGTGGCAATATGCTTAATTAAACGAGTCTTCCATTATATTCAATAGACGTACAAGGTTCATTAATTATACCCATTACAATATATTAATTCAATATGTAAACATAGATTGAATGAAATATCGGCCCGAAAATGTAGTCGTGATCATAATTGTACTAATACGAGAATATTAAGAGATCATATAAAGGAAAGGTAGTCTAATAATTCCTAACATTTTTATATGTCTCGTATTTTTGCCACTACAATTAGAATTTTATTCAGAGAATAATAATAACATTGCGGAGAAAAAATATACCTAATAATTTTAACGGAGCTCTTTTATTCATGTAGAAAAATTTAACTTATCCAAGAACGTTACACATTGTGATCTGAATTAATCTTTAATATGCACCGCTTAAACATATCTCCCTTTCTTTCTTTTAAACATATATTCCTTTTATCTTTGGTTAGCTGAATAATAAAGATGTACTTACGAAGGTTGTGAACATGTAGTGGTATCTATAGTCGTTCATTTGTAGTTGCAATATCTGTAACAAATTAAAAAGAGAATTATTCAAAAAATTTCGCAATTGATAACAACTATGCTTATAGTTAGTCGTACGATTAATACACATGACGATGTTGTCAAAGTACGCCTTATATATTTTGCTCTAAATATTGATTCGATGTACCAATATTTTGACAATGTGGTTTTACGATGGCTCTCGCCTTAGGTATAGATACGCACACATACTTTGTGTACATTCCAGGTGATCCTATATGTATATATTGCAGTATGAACATTTGCAAGACAAATATTGTATCGTCTATCGTTATTTCGCGAGCAAGGATATTGATATTGCACCCTTTGTAGCCCGATATAATTCGTCGTTTTTCATTCTCCGTAAGGCCACGGCCATATGTATAGATCGATCGAGCTGAGATGGAAGCGAGTCAGATAAAAGAGGTCTTGCGCGGATCTTGGAAAAACCTCTTCGTGAAAAGGAGAAGTGGGTGGGACGAAACGGGCGTGCGAGGTTAAAAGGATATACGAGAACCGTTGCATGAAAGCATGGACGTTTTTTGATTACTCGACCGGTCGAGGGTTATCCTTAGAAATTCTCGAGGGACGCAGCATGCAAATAACGGACTTGCTTCGACCGCGTCTGAACCAAGATTGCTTCCCGCAGTGCCGCTGACAAGGTGGGAAACGAACGAAATCTAATCTCTCTCTTGCTTCCAATGTATTTACAGTCTTAATCTTTAGATCGCGAACGACTTCTTCCACGTTTCCCGGGCCTGGTCATCTCTAACGTACAATTGTTTTATTTTTCGTTTTATATTTATCTATCCCTAAGATAATAATTACTTCTTTGTTTATTATCATTAGACAACACAAGCGTGCGTTTTGCACGCGCTATTTGCTAAAAAATTCGCATGGTTTGACAGCTGCGAATAACATGACTGAAGCATGTCGTATCGCACAAGCGAGACAGCCAATCAGCATCTCGGAAAGCGACGACAATACTATGAGACTTTCGACTATCGACTTAACACGCCTTGTTTTATATAGGATATTTTTTATCACATACATATATACAATTACTCTTGTTCATTTTACATACCTTACTAATTACGGGCTAGGTAATTTCTCGCAGCAAATTTAGTTCTAACATTTTGTACCTTTTACGTCAACAGTATTTAAACGAGAATTGTATATAATTACATTACACATATTATGCAGGACCACCCGGACATGGTTGTAATTTTATTTGGTATTTATGTTTTACACAATTTATCGTAAATTAAACACCGAATAATTTATGCGCTATTGTCCGTTGTTCTTTATGTACATAAATTACGGCAGGTCGCGATTTTTCTCACGGTATCGATACGTCCTAAGTCACAACGAATAAATTTCACAGTTTTTAGGGGGAATTATCTACATAATTGAGAAACGAGTCGATAACGCGTGTTTCAATGGTGAACAATCGAAGCGTATATTTCCGTCACGTTGATCACCCGTTCGATTATGCAAATTTTTCTATTTGTCGACCGCGCATGCAACGTTTTGGGAATTGCGAAAAACATCGAGTGCTTTTATCATTTCAAGCGAGCGCAAAAATAGCATGAGTTATTTTCACCGTTTGTTTCGTTACCACTGACCATTTGTGCAATTTAATTTAACGATTTGCTGATTTGCGTCATCTGTTCGCAAAGAGACAGTTAAATATTGCGAAGCCGTCATCGCGAGTGGCCACAAACATGATAATCTGTATAATTTAAATAACTATCACGATATCGAATGTAATACATATAGATAATAAATAAATTACGCTGTAAGATATTAATATAAAGAGACATTAAATACATTAAAGGCAGTAAATTATTAAAATATTTTTAAATATTTATATTAATTATATTAAAAATAGTAAATTATTGACATTATTTAAAAATGTGATGGTCGAGCGTCTGCCTCAGCACGAATTGATATATGCATTATTTGTTTATGACTTGTAAAGCATTAAAAAATAATTTATCAAATATTTCAGCGATCCATTGGATATTTTTTTGATGTCGATAATTCCTATTACCGTCGCGATCGCAAAATATTTCCTATACAATTGAAATATTGCTCACAAAATTTCCGAAAGTCGCTTTATCCCTTATTAAATAATCCAACGAATAATTCAAATACGTAGGACTTAAAAAATTGAAATCTGCTTCGTTTGATGAACTGCACGTATTGTGAAGCACTTTAAGATACTCTTTACGAACATTTTTTTATAGACATTGCTACCCTTCTTTCAATTCCATTTCGAATCGAGAGCTGAAAGGCAACAAGAAGTGTTACTTCTGAAGGAAAAACTGCAATGCGCAGTCGCCATTAATCCTAATTGCAAAAGTCCTTTTAATCTCCGAGCACCGAGACCCTTTGCATGATTCTGGAAAGTTATTTACGAGCTGCGATGCGTCCCGCGCGTGTACAGATCTCTGTTTGGTCTCTTTTTTTTTCGTTTTACATCCGGTAAACAACATGTTTTCCGGACTATACGACTGGTCTATACGATCACCACACGCACATGAACTACTTTTCCTACGTCATTCTCAATACGATTTTAACGATTCTAAGGAATCTATTAGAATTATAAAAGAAGTTTTAGAGGTGTTAGAATAAGATGTCCCGCGAGGGAGAAAAGTTAATTTATTTTGTTAATACGTATTAATTCTATTTATTTCAAATATATTATTCCTTCTGATATTTTTCGTATTTATAAGATAAGAGACAAGAAATAAATGTTCAGGCTTGGTAAGGAAAACAGGAAGTAAGAAAAGCCATAAAGCAAACTTATGAAACAACTTGAGACTGTAATTGCAGAATCTTGATAGAAATTTTATATTTGTTAGCTGACATATTCAACAAGAATGAGAAAAGATTGAAGTTGTCTTGAATAATGGTGTTGACAAATTTTAATGATTTACGTTTGCATGGTCTGTTACACTTTTACAATACTTCGTACTTTATTGGAAAAGTATCAATCTCAATAAAACAACTCCTCAGATTCATCATGCGAGAGATTAAATGTGGTGTAAGAAAATGGTGTAAGAAAATGTTGAAGAACATACGCATGCTGTTCGTGTTTGAAATGTAGTTTTAACGTGGTCAAAAAGGCGATTAATATATAAACAAGTGGTACTTAATTGTGAGGATGTTTGGTGTATAAAAGATATGATGTTTAAACGCATTTCGTACAACGATGTCAAATGCTGAATTAGAACTGACCGCTCGGAAGAATTGCTGCATGTGCGCCGGATCTGTGTCGACAATCAGCTTGAAAATCTCTTTGTGTCTGACCTCCCGTAGGACCTGCCTGTAGGATGTAGGACCTGCCTGACGAATGTACATTTCAGTTCTCACGGATGGCGGGGATTTCACCAGATCCTGCAGTTTGAACAGCCCTGTAAAAAGAGAGATATTTTTTTCGCAGCAAATTGGACCTCGCGATGCTGAGCTTCATCATTGCGCACGCTTGTTTTTTTTTAATCTAGCCCCTTATAAAGCATTCAAAGTTATGTCCTGTCAACAAGGTATTTCGAGCTGACTGACGTTGCCATCGATCAGTTGTCTCAAATACTTATATGAACTGTTAACTCATTTTCTCTCGTGTCACTTTTATATCATTTATCGAATAACTTGAATAAGCTTTTCATGAGTTAGAATAATGAAACATTTTAATGAATTATAAAATTAAATCGTATTATTTTTTGTTCGTTAACCATTTTAACAATGATGAGATAATAGGTTGTTATTCTCGAAATTTATTATGCACTGTTAACGAGCAATGAATGGAATAATGCGATACAATGGTATAAATATTCGAGAAAATGTTCTTCACGAGGCGTGCTAAATAAAATAACCGATTTGCCGGAATGGAGCCTTTTACAATCTTCCACTCGTATCTTGTAATCTGACCAACGTCTACGTTCTTATAGAAATAATACGGGTTATTTTTATATACGGGTTCAGAGACATAACATAAGCATAACAAACGATTTCTTATACGGTGAGCTATAAAACAGGCTCATCGTTTGCCGGCTCCAGCGAAAGAACGATGTGGGAAGAGAAAGTTGTTAATTTGATTTACAGGGAGATTTGTGACTAAACTATCAAAAGTGTTGTAGCGAACTTTTCATAACTACTTTTACGGCACTAACAGGATTTGCGGGGACGTAGCGAAAAGAAGACATCACGTTTTTCACAATTTACTTCCATCCGATTGTTCTTCGATTACTTCTCAAGTTACACTGTCGACTCGAGATTTCTGTCGCGTGCACGGAATTCATTACATACCTACGCGGTTACGTTCGCTGTGTTCATTCCCCGCGTCAAATTCATCGACGTCAGTTTAACTTTAATCAGTTTGATTGATTCTTGTCTTTTTCTTCTCGTTCACGGAAGAAAGAAATAAAAAAACTTAGAGCCATAATGTTGAAATGATTTAATTGATAAAGCACTTCGTCCGACTATAATAATAAATTACGTCTTTATAAAAAAAACTAATGTAAAACGAAGGGGAAATATTATCATTGGCTTCATATATTCGGCACATTAGACGCTTTCAGTTTCCAAGCGGTGAATCTTCTGACTTTACTCAAAGATACAAATCTGATAAAGTCGCAAGATTCTCGGTGCAATCCTACTTTTCCGTATTCCTGAAAGAGATTTCTTGGACACCCAGATAGGTGCCGCCAACTTTGAGCTCGCTAATTACTCCCCCGTAATGATCGTGACGAATAGAGCGACGGCAAGAACAGGATCGGTAAACAGCTAAAGGACGACGAAAGGGAAGCAGAAGAAGATAAATTTTCTGGCGCCTTAACGAGCACAGCCCGTAGGAGAGCTGGCACTTTGCGCAAAATATAAAAGTGAAAAATGATAAACTTCACTTTCGGAACAAATCGAGTAATTACGGTCGCTTGCATACCTCTTCTCCACTTGTATACAAGATGCTCTCAGACTCGAGAACTTAATTTCAATGACAGTTTCTTTGATTAAGTATTGGCGTTGAGTTTTCCGGCACTGCTGAACGAGAATCTCTTTCTGACGTTAATTTAACTTGCTTATCAAAAGCGCGCGGATAAAACTAAAATAAGTTGTACAAAGTAATTCAAATACAGTTAAATAACAAAATAATTATTATTTACACGTGTATTTAAAGTAAATTTATTGAGTTAAATTTATGCAAACAACTTAGAGTGAAGGGGTGGAAATCTCTCAGATAATAAAGAGTTATAATGAAGGTCGAGATTCTCCTAGAATATATAAAAGCGCCACAAGCATCATGCCCGGGATGTGTAAAAGGGAAAGTAGGAAAATTGCGCAGGGTAGTCCAGTTTACAAAATTAACTCAGTAGATAGCAGTAACTACACACAATGTTATATCTGGGAATTTATGACGGTATCGCGCGATACAGAGAGAAAAGGCGGGAAAGAATTCAGGAAAAATGTATACCAGTCTTGTTCCCTCATCCTATCATTTTGACGATAACGTTTATGGTGCGAGGTCTCTTGACCTCGTTGAAATCATAGACACAACGCTCCACGCACACATACACAATGCATATAGTATAACTTATTTCTGCAAATTCTTAAAATGTTATCGTGAAAAATGCTGCCATTATTATTAAAAGAATCAATAGATTATCAATAATTATTATAAATAAGTACAATTTTTTTGAAAATTTTGAAAAATTGTTACAAACATTTAAGTTTCTTTTTATAGGAATTAAACAACTTAATCCAACAACGTTAAACTTTTACTAAGAAATAGTGAGTGCAAGTCTAAATGAGTACGCGCGCAGCTGTGGCCACTGCTTGCTCGACCAAAGTGATAATTAATTGTTTGAAATTAAAAGTGACTTTAACAGTTCCACATATCGTACTGTTCTGCATGTATTTGTGTCTCGAAATCACGCACGTTGGCACGAGCCTAGCGCTGCCACGTTAAACTATTCATTATTATTTTACGCTGAAAAACGAGACTTTTCACACTCGGTAAAGTTTTAACGAACTGCGAAACTAGGCATTTCTCCGGCTATGAATAACTAAATGACAACGAGCGAAACAGAGAGCTCGCCAAATTTGCAAAGTACTCGAAAGTAAATCCTATAAATCCCGCAGCGATTCTTATTATATTCAAAGCTCGCTAATTAAACTTATTAAATCATAATTATCGTTCGAAAATTTACAAATTGCTGCGTGCACCGAGACTGCAATCATTCCCAATTGACGTCGCGACTGCTTAACATTTAACGGCATTTAAGCGAGCGACTATCTTTGCATGTTGAAGTTTTAACGAACTCGTGAGACGCGGATTTTCTCGACTGATGAATATTTAGGCGATACCGGGCCGCGGGGATGTTACATTTCTGCGAGCGAGCTATGGTCGGGACGCTTTCAACGCGCGTCGCTTTTACGACGGGGAATTTTGAAACGCCTTGTCTCACCCCCCCCGCGTCATAGATTTATGGCGGACTATAGACATCGAGGGGGCTTCCGCAAAAAAAGCGCACTCTTTCCGTTTCCTCTCGTTTTATCGCTAACGGTAACGTTCTACTTCGTGCTCTTGTTATACGCCACGTTACATCGTCCAATCAAGAGCGGCAATTTAAGGAAGATAAGGTCGGGGACCTCCCGCTTTTTCCCTCACAAGAACTATGAGGAAGAGGACTCGTTTCACAAATATATATAGTAGATTCGCGTTATTTATCGTTAACCCTTAGAATATCTAAGAATGAGATACAAAATAGTTACATTTTTCAAATTGTTTCTCGCGATATATTTGCTCTCTAAAAGTCAATCAGTGGATTATCATCGAAAACTATGAATTAACGACCATTCACCTGTTTTCAGTGATAATCCACTGATTGACTTTTAGAGAGTGGATGACGATAGGAAATTTGAAACTTTTACTTGTTTCAACAGTAGCAATGAAACAAATAGTGGCTCTTTGGATAAGTCAATCAATCGTTCGCGTAAATGGTAAGAAATTCAATTTATACTTTCCAGATTCCGATACATACAATACAAATCCTCTGATATTTTAAATAATTACTTTACTACGGCGATATTACCGCGGTTTTTTCCATCAAGGCAAATAAATGCAAATACTTCCTCTCGGATAGACGGAAGTGGATGGAAGAGATGCAGGCGAACTCCATATATTTTCTCTGTATGGACGGCGATAGTTAAAATATACTAATGCGATTCGGAAAGAATGGAAATGGCGGGTGACTTCGACGTGGATATTATACGTCAACGTCGCGTCGGAATTTCGATGAGTCGCCGCCGCGGATGGTGCCAGCTCGTCGCGAAATGGAAATGGGCGGCACGAGGAACTACGGGGGCCGCGACCAGGGGGATTAAGTTGGCGGCAAAAAGTGGCGAGGGAACGACAGAGGGCAATCTCGTGAACGGTCGTCGCGAGTTTACGTCGTCGTATGTAAACGCGTGCGTTACTTCCGCGTGCGAGTGACAGGCCGACATTTTGGGCGGCAGCGGGACTCCACTTCCGGTACCTGATTCCGACGTTCTATTTGCATAGAGACGCATCACCGGCGCTACGGAGAAAGCAAAAATAAAATAAAATATAATAAAATACGTCTGCGTAATGAACGCGTCGACGGTGCTAACGAGATCGCCTCTTCCGCGTATATCCATGGAGTAGTTTCCACGTTGTTGCTGTTATACGACGCCCGCTGCTCGCGGTAAAATGAGTTCCGTGCGGTCGGGAAATCTTTCAGCTCGGATGTGTCGCGTTAGCATTGTTCGTGCTCATGGTTCATTGTATACTACGTTCCGTCGGAACCATTCTTACTGTCCTCCGAGAAATATGTAACGGTTTAATCCTGCGACGTCCGAATTATCCGAAGTTGATTGCTGAGCGATAAATTTAACATTAAGTTGAAGGTAGCATTGAAAATGTTGACAATACTCCAGTAAAAATATTCTTGCTAAGACGTTAAACATATATGATTTTATGCGAATTCGAGGGATTACCCCTCGACAAATTTTTGAACGTACATTATTGATTTATCGCAAAGGTACGTTATTGTTCTCCACTTACCGTAATCTTCTTCATAGATAATAGCCACTCTAGTCCAGTTCAGGAAAGAAATAAGGTCCTTGAACGCTTTGTTAAGATGATCTTGTGCGGGATATAAGTTAATGCTGAACTCTTTGAAAGTGGGCTCGAAATCGACCCGCGCTTCGAGATGAGGAACGTCCAGTGCCTCGCATATACTTTGTATATGAGCTCCTAAAAGTGGGTCAGACGGCCCGAAGATGCCTTGCACCGATCTGGATAATTGCTTGCAGGCTGCAATAAAAATTAAACGAGCGATTTAATACCAAAATATAATTTACATATGATACTTTCTACACGAAATTGATCTGTGTTTATGAATTTTGCTCTTGAAGGTTTAGTGCAAAATTTTATCGAGTTCAAAACTTGCGCTAAAAGTTAAGTATTTCGATCATTTTCTCATCGCATATTAACGCGCATATATCATATACACTTCAAATTTCCCCAATGGCTGCAAGATTGTTCTCAGAAGTATCTTTCTTATCTTATTGGCATATTAAAATGATGACAATATGGCACTATAAGATGTGCAAGGAAAATGTCAATGGGGGCATGAGCGCGTGCTAAACCGGAGATTGGAGAACGGAGACTGGTTCTGACATATCAATTTCATATTTCTAGATGAAGCGCACTTGGGAGGCCTGTATCAGCGAAAGCTGAGATAAATTGACGACAGACTCTTTTGATCCTCGTTATTGTTCTTTCATAATCTTGCGTAATAGAACGCTATTTCAAAACTGTTACAGAATATTTTTAAAAAAAGTTTATAATGGTGTACTCTGAGGATGTTCTCTTTACCCAGTTCATTGAAAAGCAATGATAAATAAAAATGTTAGTTATAAATTTATTAAATGTATAAGAGACAAAGAATAATGCAAAAATATGAAAATTGTGACAAATTGGAATAACTTCTTTTTCTTCAGTAATTTTCATTCTTTCGAGAAATTTAAAGACAATTTAACTATTTCAATGAAAATGTTTCCTCCCTTGTTTATTCATTATGTATTTTGTTGATTTTTATTTTTATATCAATAATTAAATTTATTAATTTATAAAAATAAACAGTAGTTTTAATTGAAGCTCAAACAATCGGAAAAATACAATATAATAACTGAAGAAAGGAAAAGTACAAGGTATGTTGCCCGTAATCAGTGCGTTAATAAATGAAATCGATAATAACGTAATATATTATTCATATATACGTCGTACGTTTATTTATTTTAAAAATGAAATTATCAATATAGTGAAAATGAATTAATATGGAGTCGGTGTGAGAGTGCAGAAGCGAGACCGAATAATACGTTTGAAATATATAATAGTCAACATGCGATATTATTGGATAACTTTATCGGAGATAAATGTAATATACGATTTACAATCTTTTGATACACAGTTTCTCCTGGGAATTGATATATTCCTTTAACGGCTCAGTTTTCTTATCCATTATCCTTGAAGGAAAAGCCTTCCGGACTACGGCTTTATTTTTCCTCATATTGCAAATTATTCCTGGCACGCTTGTAAGGGAGAGTTGGATTGAAAGATGGATAAGTTCGATTTTAGTAGTACGATTTCTAAGGGTACTCGTTGGCTGAGTTTTATCGCTGTAAGTATCTTGAATTATTCACAAGCATTTCTTTGTTTCCATTGTGGAAATTATAGCCCACGGCTGTAAGGAATTTTACGTACGTTGCATTGAGTTAATGTTTGTTTTCGCGAAATTAATTTTCTTCTTTGTGCATTTTTCTTTATCAGATTATTTATTCGGTGATCACAGTACCTTACAACATCTTGTGTTCTATCTGTTTTGTGATTATAATTTATTGTTAAAAATACCTAGTCAACTGTCGGGATAAATTGATCAAAGAGAAGTTGAAGAAAATAATGGGGTAAGATAATTCTTGTGTAGCAGTAGCATATTTCTCAGATAAAATAGATTCACGGTTTCCTTTGCTCAGAGTAACAGATTCAGCAATTGTAATAAAATACTTCGAGATAGAACATCAACGATTTTGATTAAATATTCTCAATCATTTTCTTATAGGATGGGTCTGTCATATAGCATTATCATTCAGAAATATGTTGAAAATAATTTTATATAATTTACTTTTATGACCTTTTTTGCATTCTATTTGCTTTTGATGTCGAGCTTGTTTAAGGCGGTTACCTGGTAGTAAAGAATATTACTCGCCGTGCATTCGCTTGGCTTGAGATTGCCGCTATTCGGTCTCAAAACTTATGTTTATATGACACATTTATACTAATCTTCATCTGATTAAATTACCCAGATGACTCGTAAAATGGCGCAAATATATAACGTGCCATTTCGTAGAATACACAATTTCATTGTCGTCTTGAAATTTCTCATTGCGCTGCTCCGTCGTTGATTAAGTCGAACGAGAGTAAATAAGAATTGTCACCTCGTTACGATATCGCAGTTTCGTTTAACGAACCGACACTTATCCGTTTTGCGGTAATGAGTGCGGCAGTTTCCGCACAAAGAACAGCGCCGGAGCTTCCTCGTGACTTTTATGAGCTCAATATAATGCACTCAATATAATCAGCTTCCACAATTTCGTAAATTATCGCAATTAGGGTGATGATAGTGGTATATATGTGGTCTTAAATATGTTCGTTTTTTAATTGCTTTAGACGTTTCATTAAATCAATAATCACTTTGACTGATTAGCTTTATTTGAAGTTAACGGAATAGACAGATTTTCGTATTCTATTATAATTATATTGTAAGTATAAAAAATATAAATGTTTCTAAAGGAAAAAGAGATTTAGTTATATTTCGACGCTAGTTTTTTCACGTAACTGGCAGAGCAAAAAGTTATACTTTTTTTTGGTTTATTGTGCAATATTTTAATCTCATAATTCGTATATAAACAAAATCCTTGGCGTATTTTTTTTTTGGCCGGCAAAAAGTTTAATCTGATTTTAGAGCGCATTTGACTTTTTGGAATACAAAAACCTAATTAATGCAAACGCCATAATTAAAGCGATGAAACTCTTCAGCGTTGTAACGCGGTTGAAGGATGATCCGGTGAACGTCCTATCTCGTTAGGTCCGTTAAAAGTTACATAAGCAACTGCACTCGCATACTCGTGAAACTTTTCCCGCATACAGAAATATGACAGTTATCAGTAGATTAAGCTGACTGACAATGACGAGCTGTAAATCTCTTCAAAAAGCCATCGCGAAGTCGTTAGGGGAGCGAAAGAGAGAGGCGGACAGGTGGGATGAGGTTGTCTATTAGGATCACGAGCGTAATGTGCGAACGGAGTTTCTCCGTAGACACTGAAAAATAAAATCCGGCGAAATAATCACTTCGTCATTTGGTTAGCTGCACGCCATTTCTGGCCGTAGCTCTCGTAAACGGAACCTCCCATTAAAGTGTTCCGCCTCGGTGGTCCGGGTCGCTGCTCCTTAAAGTTATCCAATCAATTTCCCTGGTTTAGGTCTCTTCCGATTTCTATCTCCCTTTGTTTTCTACCTTTGCGATGATCCGAGTGAAATTACACCTACGACATAAACCTGAAAGGGAATTTGTGCGAAATCTTATTTTTATGGGAGTTCAGGAGTGAACGTTTTCTTTTTTTTTATATAGCGGGAAATTAATAAAGAACTGTGCACCTTTTATCAACGAGTAACTTACTTTCTTTTTTATAACACGAGAATGTGAAACGAAATTTGCGCCGTGTATCCGTGATGTTAGGAAGAACAAAGCTCCTCTCGATGTAGCAGAGAAAGTATGAACTTTTACTTTAAAACTTCTTGTTATTAACTGTTTTTGATAACGCGTCAACTTTATGTTTTTAACGACTTAAAATTATATAAAAATAAATTGAATTTTGTTAGGTACTAACTTTTCTGCACTTTAACAACATTATACACCTGATGATTGATTTTCTAATTACATTTTTATTGAAACAAAGTAAATAAAACCTATTTTAACTTAAAATAAGAAATATTTTCAAAGTAATAATGAAATTTATTGTACATATAAATTATTTATACGTAGCATATTTATTTAATTCTGTTGGAAGCATTGTACCTTAGATTCGCGTGCTGCGGAGAAAGAAAGTAAACAGTTTATTCTCATCTTTATTATTTCGAGGGATACAATAGCAATATTGTGTTCTTCTGTAATTGCTTTAACAATCGACCCGTACATGATTCATTCTTCTGATAGCAAGATGTCACAATACTTTGTAATCCGTACTAGATGTCCTCAGAAATTCATAGAGGATTTCCTCAAGTTGAGTGTTTTCACCACGAATCCAATTTCCCATCGAGGCTTTGTTCCTCGTTCCTCGTCCCGGAGAGCCCCGACAGTGCGGAAAATAAAGAATCTTACGTAACAATTTTCTAAAAAAAAAATTACAGAAGAAACCCCCGTTGGTTCTCTAAAATGCAACTTTCTATATTTAATGAAAGCTCTCTCTCGTTCAATAAGACCGACTACACGAGGAGAACTTCTCATTTTATGGTTCTCATATTCCGCAGAATGAAAAGAGTAGAGTTAAAAAGTTTCTTTCTCCAAGAAAATATATTTTTGGAGCCGTCAAATATATCGAGAAAAAACGGCGTTTTAATTCTTCCATTCAGACCTCATGATGCATAAATATCCGATTTTGCCCCGGCAAGAGATTCAATCTCGCGGCAGGGCAGAGTAGAGTTTCAATCCATTTGTAAATTTTCGCATGAAGAAATCCAGGCCGTGGACACATTAGGCGAAGATAACACAAACGGCGCGAGCATCAGCCGTGATTACTTTTAGGTGAAACGCATCACGGTATATTAGGCGCGAGTCAACCGAATTCGCGCATACGCAACATTAAACCTGCGCAGAGATTCCAGAAATGAGAAAATGTATACAGGCATCTATCCTGGGCGGCATACACCGGAGATTTATCACGGGGTGAGCCAGTTTACAAAAGAAACGTTGGAAAAGTTACGCCATTCGACACGATTCAACCCCGTTCGCGAAAGAGGAAACGCAGCGGCGAGAACGACCGGAAAGGAAGCGAAATAATCTTTCCAACCGTAGACATCATTTTAAGCGTGCCTGGAAGGAAAAAATACATGGATTCTTGTTACGCATAATGGTATTCCATAGGCATATTTATGGCCGACTACTTTCCCCTTCGGAAAACCTAAGAGGGTGCAAAAATGGGGATATGATCCCACGGTGAAAAAAAGAGCTGATAAAAATACATATATGCCTTTCTTTTATATGTATGTACAGTTCCGATATATATTTCGCTGTTCATAGACGATGAATTTATTTCCTTACCAGAACTTTATGAAAATTGTATTTTTATATTTTACTTAAAAAATTTGTTTTCGTTCATCGTTGATATCCCTTCTTCTAGCCATTCACTGTTCTACTCTGTAAAAAGAGAGGATGAAAGGGCTCTCGAGATATATTTTAGCGAACTTAGAATTCGCGGCATAAACACAGGTTCGTCGCGACCTCCTTTATCTCGCTCGTTCAGTGAGTTAAGAATCTTCGTCGCGCTTCAAGAAGAAAATTTCATGTGCTCCCTGGATAGTTATATGATTTAATGCTCCGGTTTAATCGTTGTATCATATTCGCGCGGTTCGTGTACATAAGAGCTGTTCTCCGGCTTTCCAGCTTACACAAAGTCTTCTTTGCACGAAGGAAATTCCGCCGCAGTGAACGCCGATTATATGCACCCTCGTCAATCACGCTGGAACATCTAACTCTTATTAAATCACGATCGTACTTATTTCTTTCGGACAATAAGACGGCTTCTTTATGGTAAGTTTGCGGAGCATAACTTGAGAATCGCTGGGATAAACCAAACAAGTGGTATCTCCACTGCGCGGTGTAGAATTTTGTAAGAAAACACATTTCGAAGAGACATTGCTCCGTGGCGAATTCATAACCGGCTCGTTGCGCTGAGATTTATCCGCCGCGCTCGCGATCGCGCGGCAGACATTGTTATGGTTTCGGCTCTCAGAGCCGATCCGGTTTCGTGTTATTTTACATAAATCTAAAGCTACATCATGTCGCGTGCGACGTTCTCGCGTTGTAATTCACGCTATAGCCGGTCGCTAACTGAATTGCTTTCGCTAGGCTTCCTGCCAACTTTTAAGCTCGCATGTCAAAAGCGCTCCACTGACAGGAGATTCACGTCACGCTCTAACCGCCAGTCTTTTGATCATATTAAAATGGGGATTAAATTAATTAATTAGTTGGTTTTACCTGGTATCACGTCACTATTCACGATCGCCAGCTGACACGCGCTGGCGAAGTTGATTTATGTTTTACGTCATGTAAATTGCATGCACTAAATTACATTTTGCTCCATATTCGTACTCTCACACTTAGTGCTCCACGTGAAACACGAATCACGTTGTATTCTACATCAATTGAAGTATTCTTATAAATATATTATTTGAAAATCAATGATTACCATGTTTCTCACTTAATACATTATATTACAGAATAATTACATTGCTTGCAGACATTCGCAAAGTTAATTAAAAGCACATGCAGATTTTACAAAATTGCAAACAAAGAGTAAATTTTCCACGCAGTAATTCAGTAGAATTATTGTACATATTTCTAATAATATCAACCCAAATCTGATTCCTCGACAACTTTTACTCATATTTCTGCTCTTTATCTTGTAGCAGTGTGCTTTTAATTTTTAAGTGTCAGTCTGTTCGCGTTTTAAATGATCTACCGTCGTATCTTCAAATGTACAGTTTGATGAATAAGCGACGCAAGGCAATCGTTTAAAAAGGAAACACAGTTTTTTTTAAACGGATACGACGCAACCGAATTCATGCCAGAATCATCAATCATAGGGTTTCGTATGTACATGATATGTCGGATCAGTCGTACTTTCCTTTAAACGCTTAAATTCCTTTAGTAACTGAAAATTATAGATGAAAAGCATGTCCCTTTCTAAAAAAGAGATGTTATCGGCATGAATGTCGTTAATATCGAACAGTCGAGGCCTCTTTTTCGCGATGCTGAAGCGCGATGTGCTTCACTTCTCTTTTAGATTTGTGTCATGTTTCACCTCGCATGTGAATTTTGACAGTTGTGACAAAATATACTTAAAGAATATTAGGGAATAAACAAAAAGTTGAAGAAAAAATAGTTAAAGTTAAATATCTAATTGAGCGAAGGAAAATAAAAGAAATCCTCTTTTTAAAAAGTTATGCAAGAGATTTAATTATTGACGCTTTTCCGCGATGCTAATTCTCTCGTTTGGCTTTGTACTGCGAGTAGCTGTCAGTGCGGAGATCATGTAATATGTATTTTGACAGTGTGTCAACGTCAGATTACGTCTTAATGTAAGAAGTCTTCTTCACATTAAGGAAATCTTAATGTGTGAAGAAGATCACGAATAAATATAAGTTAAAACCAAATAGCGCGCGCAATGTTATTTCTAATAAAGTATCTAATACCAATTTATATTATTATTAAACTAAATAATTCGATAATTTGCTCATAATAAATGAAGATTTGCAATTTAGAAATATACATTTGTATACATCAACTATTGAGGTAAAATTTCTGTTCTTAGTAATTAAAATTTAAGTAACAACGATTTTTGTTTCGGAACATTTTCTCGATTAAACAGAAATAATCGTTAATTTAATCAATACCGATAAGTCCGCAGAATGATACGCAAAACGTAGTAACAGTCACGGAACAAAGTAATGTGAAATATTAAGTACGGAATTTTCCATTACGTAGGCGGGGCAACGAATTCTCAACGTTCTTTTGTTGTTTTTCTCTCGGCGCGGCATCGTACGACGTTACTCGGGCCATTGTTTACCTGAAGGTCGCCGCGTGATCATTCGCTCGCCGAACGTCGAGCCGGCAGGCAGTAACGAAAGTCGCTCCGTGCGTCGTATTACTTTTGCGTTATCGGCTTCCAAGACGCGATCGCGATAAATGTGAGGATAAAACGCTATTGATTTGCACACCTTTATTATATTAGTAACGTTCCTATACTTTCCGTATACATACATAGATATTTCACGAGACTAACTCATCTAAAATATAAAGGCAAACTGTGGTACTTTGTCCCGATTATATCTCGCTTACGCACCGCGCTTTTAAATTATTTGTCGATTTCGTGTAATCTGTTCCATTTTCGGGAAAAGAGAAAGAAATTTGTACGGTTTTGGTATTTACGCTGTAATTCTCTCTGTCGGTCTTTGCAACTCGAACGGGCAGGAAGTAGTAATACCATAGAAATGGAAAATCGTTGGAGGTATCACGCACATAGCTCATTTCGACGATTTGATTGAACGATAAAGATTGAAATATCGTTTCGTTGCGGACCAATAACTATTTCTTTAACGCAGATTATGCTTGGATTCCGATGCTCGCATTACGTTTTATATTGTTAATTTAAAAGTGATTTATCCATTATCCTACTTCTTCCGAATCAAAAATGCAAGTTGTTAGTTTGAGTAATTTATATGACAGAAAGTCACGCGATATTTGTTAATAATATTTCGTGCGTTTCGCGGTATTTCACATCGCGTACGGGAGTGCCGAAAATTTCGCGCGATCGATGATTTTTCGCGAGTGAGTGTGTGTGAGTGCAACTACGAAATCTGAGAGGAGGAGGAGGAGGCTTGGGATCGGGCAACGACGGAGCAATCACGACGTGAGTGTTTTACATTTTTATATTATTTACTACTTGTGCAAAATAAAACATCTGTTCTCTGTTTTTGTTTCATTTATTTAAATAATTCGAACGAGGATTCGAATAAGTGTTACAGACAAAAACATACCTACGTATAAAATTTTATGAGCTTATGTTTAACAGAAAGACTTTTTTGAGGATTTCATATGTGTGATTATTTTAATAAATACCTATTTTAAAAACATAAAATATTTAATACAATAATTTCGATTTTACATAATTATTCTATAATAATCATATACATATTTGTAAGGAAAAATGAAAATGATTAAAATAAAATCGTAGTCAATAAAGAGTAAGACAGTGACAATTAGATAGAATGATAGAAGTTAATTTTAAAATTCAACGTATATGTATAGTTAACGTTGTAGATTACAACATTGCGAATCGTATCGGTGACTGATAAATTGATTTTAAAGTGACGTTGCCTATACAATACTCTTTTTGCACGTATACAAAGTTTTAAAAATATACAATGCTCGAGAGTAAACGGCGCGCGCGAAGCGCGTGTTTTGTAATTTTTAGTCTAATAATAAAATTGGATAGGAAATTTGTACGTTCGATTTAAGATATGTGTGTATATTCTTATTTCTCGTGTACAGTTTAATTGAATCAATGAAATTTTACACATCGATATTTCTGAATACGATTGATATCTCACTAAAGATAATTTTTTAATATTTATCATCGAAAACATTTTTTTTCTCTTTACGGTGCAATTGCAATGTGAAGACAAAATTTTTTTGTATATATCCCAAGAAGATTTTATTCTCTTATTTACAAAAAGATAAAATAAACTGATTAAAAATAAGCATTAGAAGTTTGTGATATTGTAAAGTTGTTATGTTAAAATTAATAACGCTGCAACTATTAACTATTGTAAGTTGGCCAAGTTATTAGTCATTGTCTGCCTTTTAAATTACCGCTGTCATGTATCTTGTGCCTCTTATGAACATCAATTTAGCATTATGATAAATTAACTTCTGTCATTCTATCTCATTCTATCCAATTGTCACTGTTATACTCTTTAATGACTGCGATTTTATTTTAACAGTTTTTATTTTCTTTACTTGTGAGGGTATATTGAAGCGTATATTATTAACAATATTGGACTTTGTCATTTATTGAATGTATTGAAGAGATATTAGCATTCGAAAGCACACTTTTTGTTAAATAACGCATACGTGACTTATCACTGGCCACCGCTATGCATCTATCAGGATATTGTACGTTACTTTTAATTATTATACGAGGCCATATGGACTATTTTCCTACCTTTCTTGGACGTGCGGAACGAATCGTCTTTAGGCACATATTGGATATCGTAAACCAATGTCGTGTTCGCCAATAGAGTTTTATCCTTGTTGATTTTATAAATGGCGTATTTAAATGCCAACTCCGATGGGCTATCCTTTTGATCCTCGGTGAAGATCGCTCCTGCAACAATCCAAATAAATATTTTCTTTAAACGTTAACATTTTTAGATACATCCGAAACTATAAGTGTTACAGAGCTATAAATTATTAATTAAATGTTATATAACGTTGACTCACGCCCAACTAATCGCGTTTGATTCTTAAAACTCACTTTTCCTTGTCAGTCGTTTTCTTGTTAATTTTAACATCGAGAATCTTTAGTTAAATTAATCATTTATTTTAAAGATACAAATGTAAGATATATAACATGAATTATTTGTGTATGTTGAAAACAGGAATTGATGAAACTTATTCGATAGGTATATATCTGATAAAAATCAAATAAGACTTCTGTGATTAATTAACTATATATTTTATTAATTTTCTACAGTTAGTATTACATATTCTAAGTAAAATATTGTGGAAAGGAATCAAAATGGATCAAAGCGTATCTATTCGCAATAAGTTATTCTTTCTAAAAAACAAAAGAGTATTTATCTTACAACTTTTGATTACCAAATCGCAAATTCGGGGTTATTTAATAGTTGTTCTTATTTAGCCAGCGACAAGGGAAAATAAAATTTTATTCCAGAATTATGTTAGGTATATACTTAAATTGCAAGCGGAGTTCCCAGGGGAAATGCGTCCATACCAGAAGCAGGGATAAATTGGTAACGCAGACGTATCCGAAAAGTAAATTCCGACGCCGCTAAAAGAAACTGAATTCATTGAAAGTTATAACCGAGTTCGTGAACTTGCAATAACGATCTCTTTCGTATCTGTCGTACATATCTACATACATATATAATACAATCGTAAGGTACCGTGCGATTCTCCCCTAAATTTAATTAATGACTCCACCACGGCGTAGCTCACTTCGAACGCGAGTTTTAATTAAATTCGAATAATTACCGCGGCCAAAACCACGCTCGCGGTATCAGGAAGTACTTCAGCGGAAACGTTCTCGTAAACTGAACCGTTGACTTTGTGTCAAAAATAATCAACACTGAAGATTGAGCTTATGAAATCAACGAAAAATTATATGAAATAAAATAGTTAATAGCTTAGATGATTGGTGAAACTTTTCGCCCAAAATTTAATTATTGTAAATATTATATTTGTTCAAATGGTATATTTTTAAATACAGGGTGCTACGCAAGACTTTGACGT